AGAGAGAGTTAAAACGCTTGCATAGCCAGAAGGCCCTTCTCGAGAGAGATATCAGCAAACAGGAGTCCTTTGCTGGTAAAAGACAGGACTCTCTTAATGTTGAGAGAAGTGCAAACCAGTCATTGCAGGTATTTTCAAATGATTTTTTTTTGCCGCAAGATTTTTCTTTTTACCATTGTAATATCGAGTAACATGTCCATTAATTATTATTTCAATGTTGGAAACGTAATATGGAGATCTCAGAAGCTACTATTGGCTGAATTTGGGTTTTGTTCAAACACTGCGTGAGCTTGCTTGATGAAATGTGTTATTTCTTTGCATCATTTTTCAATGGCGAGCCATATCAGTCTTTTTGGTGGATATACCTTTGGTCTAATTGAAATGCTCATTCTCATGTCTACTTCACATTTATCAGGAAGATTTTAGAAACCTTGAAGTGCTTGCTTTTGAAATGGAAACAACCATTGCTTCACTGGAAGAGGAACTGTCTGCTGAGCGTGGAGAAAAAGAGGAGGTGCTACGTAGAAACGAGGGTTTAGATTCCGAAATTACATCTCTGACGGAGAAACTGGAGCACTCAAATACCCAACTAGAACATCTGCAAAATGATGTCACTAGGCTTGTACGTCTTTTCATGCGATGATTTGTCCATAAGTTGTTGATATTGAATTTGAAGCAACTAGTGTATTGGAAAACACAATGCGTTAGCTCAACCGTATGTTTTGTTTTGTGACAGAAAACGAGACTTGAAGGCTCATCTTCTGATCAACAACAACTGGAAACCAATGTTAAACAGTTGCTTGAAGAAAAGGAAGAGTTAGCAATGGTATGATGATTCTGAAGACAGATTCTGAACTTAAGTTCTTGTTTGTGTAAAATTGTAATACAGTAGTCTGCCATTTTGTTCAGCATCTGGCGAACTCACTTCTGGAGATGGAGGAGGAGAAAGCAATATGGAACTCGAAAGAAAAAACTTTGACAGAGGCCATGGAGGAAAAGATCAGACTATATAATATACAAATGGTGTCACTATCTAAAGAAATGTCAGAGGTATGTTTGAAGCAAGGAATTTCTTATAGTGAGATTAAAAACCGAACATCATGGTCATCAAATCATTTTGGTCATGCTTATCCTTTTCTTATCTGTTTGGATTTAGAGTGGTGTTTTTGGAATTACCATGAAAAGTTCTGCATAACTATCGTCAGCATGAGCTCCCTGTAGAGACGACTGAAAATTATTTGGTTTCTAATCATTTCTTATGCGTTCTCTACATATAATATATGCTCTTTAAGTTCTCGATCCCTTTAAACTTTTAGGCAAAAAAGGAGCTGGAATCTTGCCGACTTGAATGTGTTACCCTTGCTGATAGGCTAAGATGTTCTGAGGAAAATGCTAAGCAGGAAAAAGAATGCAGGTTTGTACTTTTGATTTCTCTTGCTTTTGAAAGTTAAAATTCTATCTCCGTAACTCTCTGAAAATAACTCTTGTTATGCTTTCCGGCACTTGGTTGATCTGTATTTCTCTAGTTGGTGCTATCTTTCCTCTGACTTAAGCATTTTTATGTTCCCCTGTAGCATGGAGAAGTCTTTGGAGATTGATAGACTTGGTGATGAACTTCGTTCAGCTCATGCCGTGAGTAAGCAATCTCAGGAGGTAATAACCATTTCACTAGTCTATGCAAAAGGTTTCTGTATTACATTATTGCAATTAGAAAACTAAATTTGTAATGATGCTGTTGACAAATCCGCCCGACTTTCTGGTTATGGTATTCATGCTTCTTGAATGTCAGTTAAAGACCAGAAGCTGTCACTTGCAAGATTGGAATGTTAAAGATGCAAAGTTTTGATACACAAAATTTTTATGTGCGCCTTCAGGTTCTCAAGAGTGATATTGACACTCTGAAGTCCGAGCTTCAACGTACTTGCGAGATGTCAGATACACTTGGGAGAGAGCTTAATCATGTCACAAGTGAGCGCCAGAATTTGCTAGCTCGCATAGAGGAGTTGAGCAAGGAACTCGCTTCATCTAATCGTGTGCAGGTTGGGTTAAGAGCAAGCGGACATGATTCTATTATAGATGTTGTACTAACCATTCATTCTCACCAATGCCCTATTACTTCTGTCAGATTGAAGATGCAAAAAACCCATCTGAAGAGTTGACTCGTAGAGTCTCAAGCCAAGAACCCAAGCTGTGCAAGGTAATGCCAAGTGAAATGTTTGATTATGTTTCTCAGTGATTAAGATTGATCCTTTACTCCGAAAGAACCAATGCCAAGGCAAAATTTCTGATATTACCAATTATCCACCATATTTCTGCTGTATCTGATTGCAGGATGCAGATGCAAACAACAAGGAGAAGGCAAAGCTAAAAATGAGACTTAGAGGGACGCAAGCACGCTTAGATGCAATCTGTCTAAGGCACAAGCACTCTGTGAAAGAATCAGAACTCATGAACAGGAAGTTCGAGGAAGCATCTACAAAGCTGAAGGAGAAATTAGCATCAAAAGCACTCGAAGTCCTCGATCTCAAGAAGCAGCTCTCTGCCTCTTCAAGAACAGCATAACTTTTAAGGGCTAGTAAATATTTAAATGCTGTAAACTATTGCAGTGGTTCTTTTGATGTGATTATGGCAAATAGTCCAATACATAATAAGCAGTATGATAGGTAGATTAACAAATTATATCGAGAGGTTATGCAGAGGTTTTTGGACTGTAGGCGAATACAGTTCAGTTTAATGTTTATAATATATATTATGATAAATATACTAAAAAAAATTTAAGCAAGATATTTTCAATCTTTAAAAAAAGCTTTGTAGATTTTCATTAAGCCACACTAATCACAATTACACATGTTTGATAATAACCTGCTAAGCAATCTTAGGATATCATAGTTGATATGTTTGTAACTAAAAGTTGTACTGGTTCCATATTTATTGAATTTGCAGATTCTCTTTTTTTTTTTTTTTTTTAACATCAAAGTTTGCAGATTCTCTTATCCAAAAGATCTTTCAAACATGCAGACAAAATGAGAATCATGGTTCTTAAAGTTGATGTCTATAATCTGGAAATTTGACGCTAAAGTCAACCAAACATAAAATTATTTTTTACTCTGAACTTTGAGAGGCTGACACTCCAAAACACTTCATTACTGTCAAGTCTCAACTTGATCAAGCCGTTGATATTTTCGAAAAGAATTTCAATAGTACCTTCCGCAACGCATTTTCAGCAACACATTGTTTGGTGGAACGACGGTAAGAGATTAAACCTGTAACATCTAGATAGCTTTGCATTAGTACAAAGATAGAGCAAATTGTGGCTACAAAATAAAATAAAATCAAAGTTCATATCAGATAATTGATAACAAAAGTCTGATTCCAACTGATAAGTGATAACATACAACAAACAGATAACAAAAGTTAACAAGTATAATTAATTAACTACTAAAGTCAAATACATAAATATTATTTTAGTCCTAAAATCAGAGTCAGTCTATTCTCTCCTAACTTCCACGGCCGGACAATTTTGTAGGTGGCATCACGAGGAAGGTACATGCGGCAGTATCTAGTTCCCCCAGTCAACAATACGGCAGTAGACAACCAGTATTTTTTTTGTAAACAGTCAACAATAAAAAAGTCAAACTTGTGAAAAAAAACTTGACAAAAAAAAAACTTGTGAGATATCCAAAAACAATTAATTCATACTATTCATACTTACGTTCTCTAGTGATTTTTCTCAGTACCTTATAACCAAGGTATTAAATTCATTAGTCAAATATATTATAAAGCACAAAGGCATTTATTTTTCTAGGTAGTTGGACAGAACAGCAAAAAATCTTATACCTCTATAGATATAATAATCGCATAACTTATAAACTTTTGTGAGATAAAAGTTTTTATTAATAAAATTGAATATATTTAGTTTAGTAACAATTAACATATAAATAAATAAAAAAACTAAAACTTATAAGCATTACAACATTTTACAAAATAATTAGACAAAAACTAAAAACTACAGCAAAATCAAAAACCAAAAACTAAACACGAAAAATTAAAAATCAAAAAACAAAAAGCCAAAAACCAAAGAAGTTTAATAAGTTTGATTCGCAGGAAAAAATGTGTAGTAAACAGCTCACATCCATTTTGTTAATTATTTTGCAGGACGATGTTTGTATAGAAACCGAAGAAGGGCTAAAGCATTGTAAGTTGATTGCGGTACATGCTGGTTTGGAGAAAAGGAATAGCGTAGACGAACAACTAAAAAGCTTTTAAGAGCCAAAGACACAAGCATCCCAAAAGTCCCACAGCTAGGCGGTAGGACTGATTTGAATGTTGTTGTGACTAGTGAATACCTTTTTTATTTGAATAACATTCAATATTTGTTTCAAAAACAAGACAAATATCTTTATCATGATTCAGTATATATGGCTTAACCTTTCCCTGTATTCCCGATCTTGCTTCAAGTTCACTTCAGCTTATATCGTCTCTTCTTGTAATCTTCTAGTACAAGTTGTTGTTCTGTGTTTAGAAATGCGTTTGGTCAATTTTGGTTTCAGATTATGGTTAAGTTCCTTCTTCTTTGATTGCTTCTCTGTCCTAACTAGATCATGAAACTAAAAGCTAAATGAATATTAACAAATTATAGTAAGCCGCGTTTCTTCTTGCATCTGCTAATTAAGCTTTCTAATTTGGAATGTATAATGATCCCTGTCCTTGTCTAAATTGTGGTATCAGCTTTGTCTTTGACTTTCTTGAGACCTTCAGCTTTGTCCTTTTGTTTCTTTGTTGCGATGGTGATACAAACTCACAAGTGCTTTCTGGTTTTGGTTTCTCTGTTTTGTGTTTGGTTACAGATTTTGCTGTATTGAAAGACTATGTCTCAAGATGGTGAAGACAATTGTTGTATTGATGCGATGCTAAAAACAATTTAGTAAGCCCAAAAAAAGACTTGGTCAAAAGAAATGTTAAGATTACGAGTTTACCTTTTTAAAAATTAAGGTAATGTTTTCATTCTTTACCCACGGATCCATTAATCAGGAAATGAGAGAAATGTGCAAACCCTAATTCCCGAACATGACGCCGAACCATCTGAGATCCGTCACGGCGCAGGTAAATCAAAGACCTGATTATGATTAAAGATTAAAGATTAAAGATTAATCCTCTCCTACTGCGTTAGTCTGAGTTTCATCAACTGCGCAGGTAACTCGCGGAGGGAGTTCCGTGGTGTCTCGCCGCAGCTTATCTACGGGATCTCGCCGCAAATTATCTTCCTCCCCTATTGTCTATGGTAACGTTCCCTGTTCCCGTTGCGAGCATATATCTAAATTATCGAATTAATCATGGGGGTTTCGATTTGTATTTGTAATCGGAGGTATATTTTTGTCTGTCATGTGTGATTGTAGTGAGGAAGGTAGAGAGGTTCATAGCTCGGTCAGTCCATGTAAAGGGAGATACTGTATCGGAACTTGAGGAGATGCGGAAAAAGGTGTAAACAAAATCAATTGAACGAGAGACATTCCGACCACTGCTATGATTTCGTCTTCATCATCTCTGTGTTTTTCTTTCAGGATATTAAGGACGCTTTGGGGTGGATCCCTCGGGAACTGGAGGAGGATCTAAGGGAAAAGATGTGGCCTGAACTAAGGGAGATGAAAAGGATGTGGTCTGATGCAAAGGAGACTATGTTTCCTGTACGAAAATCCTAGAAGCTTTGTGTCCAGTGAAAAAAAATTGCTTTTTCTTTTGTTCGAGTGTAATGATTTTTTTTTTATTGTAATATCAAAAGTATATATGAACGAACATGAATCCTGTGATGGACCACTTTATATATCCAGTTTAATGAAATGATGCATGCATAATAATAATTCATTTAAAGTGTAGAGAAATTGAATAGATCCTTGTCGGAAGGAGATGTGTCAAAGGGTTGTTGACCGTACGATTCGAAGTGCCACACGTGGCTGGATTTTGACGGCTAGATATATGACTTTCTTGCCTTGTTGTTAATTATACCGCACTCAAAAAATCAGATAGAGGAACCCTAATTCCCGATCATGACGCCGAACCATCTGAGATCCGTCATAGCGCAGGTAAATCAAAGATCTGAGTATGATTAAAAATTAATCCTCTCCTACTGCACTAGTCTTGAGTTTCATCAACTGCGCAGGTAACTCGCGGAGGGAGTTCCGTGGTGTCTCGCCGCAACTTATCTACGGGATCTCGCCGCAAATTATCTACAGGATCTCGCCGCAACTTATCTTCTTCCCCTAATGTCGATGGTAACGTTCCCTGTTCCCGCATCAAATTCGCGAGCATATATCTATTATCTAATGAATCATGGGGGCTTGATTTGTATTTGTAATCGGGTTTGTGACTCTTGTTTCAATGGCATTTGAAAATTTGAAATGGTGTGAGTAAGTGCTAAACTATAGAGACTCTCTCAGAAGCCTGATCTTCTGACTCTATAATCCCCTCCTTCCTGCTTGTCGATCAAGATGGAAGTTTCTGTACATGTTCTTGTCTGTTCATCTTTACATTCTGACTCCGTATTAGAATCAGCGGATATCCTATTTTCCTCAGTTGTTTCCACTTCTTCTGTTGTTATTTGGGTTTGCAGAAGATTCAGAACCATCAACAGGAGTTCTTATTGTTTCGACTTATATATGATACCCACTTCAGTTTCGAAACATTGCTAACTAACCTCTTGCTTCTTTACCAAATTCAGTGTAATTATCAAGTCTGTTCCCACTAAAAAAACGTATCAAAACTGTTGAAAGATAGAAAATGTTTTTATAACTAATGATTCCTATCAAACGAGGCTACTATAAGGCAATCAAGAAATTTTCTACTACAATTACTAAGAAGAATTACCTCTACTTGTAGTGGTAAATTATATTATCGTCGTTGATTTTGTAACTATGTAAATTGGAATATTATGCAAAAGTTAAGATGTCTTTCATTTTTTTTTTTTGGTAAAAGATGTTTTTTTTAACTTTTGTTGTTTGAAAAAAAAAACTTTCTTTTTTTATAAGGGGAAATGAGTGAATCTAAAAGAACGTAAAAGAATTCAAAAATAATTAATTTAAAGTTTTATTGAAAATTTAAGTTAATTTTTTTCAAAATCGGAATAATAATAATAAAAATTGACTGTTTGTATTTTTTTTTAACTGAAATTCTATTAAATTTTTGAAACGAAACACCATATATATTGGAATAAATTGAATAATAGAATTATAAAATTAATAAATTGAATAATACTATAATTCAAAATACTTTAATAAAATAACTACATATATTCAATCTATAAAAATTTTTTTTTAAAAAAACTGATAAAATATATAGTCGAATAAAATTAAAATTAAAATATCAAATATCAAATATAAATTTAGATTAAATTCTTAAATTGAATAACACAATCTTAACTTCATTAAGATTTGTGTATTTAAAAAAAAAAATGTATGGCTTAAATTTGGGATGACGCAGATGATTGAGAGTGGAGGTCTTCTCTTCCTTTTCGGCAATGGCTGCTGAGTGCTGAGACACACTGAAATCCACAAACCCTAATATACCCTCCCATTTTCTGTTCGAGTTCCACAAATACTGGAACTGCTTATACGTTGAGCCGCGAAAGTCTTAGAATGTGACACAGACTAACGGATATCGATTGCCAATTGAAGCTTTCCATGGTTAATCTCTCTCTCTCCCTCTCTCGTTTTCTCTTACAACATCTCCATATACTACTTGTATCATTGCCTGAAGATATATTGTTAAAGATTGGATTTTTAAGACTGGACAATCTCATGAATGGAAAAAGCAATAAACCGGCTTATCAAGTATGTTTTGGTTGCAGATTTGACAATCCCTGATGCCCGTTTATGTGAAAGGGTTTCTAAAGTGTGGAGCACCTAAAGTTCCATCCTTTTGTGACAAAAGAGAATCCTTCTTCACTAGAACAAGTTGGGGATTTTGCTGTTTACCTCCTGTCCCTGTGGATCGTCGTAATTTCAACCATAGTAAGTATATAATACACACCACTCTTGCTCTTACTCTCTTTGGGGATGGTCTTTCTTATTGCTTCTATTGGGCGTCTCTAGATCTTAGTTACTCAAGCAATCCAATACAAGTTGTGGAGAAAGCTGCTACTATTATGGGTGCCAAGGCAGATGATCCAGCTTTAACTTCTTCATATGATGATGCTATGGAAGCCCTGTCGACTCTTATCTCTCGTCGTAACCGTGGCGACCGCTCACCTAACAGAGCAAGTCGTGACAAGCTTGAGCAAGTCCTCACATATCTCAAGGTGATACAGCCATTTTGCTGTCTTAGCATTATTTTGGGTGGTGCATCTTTTTCCTTATCGATGGTACTAAATGCTGCAAGTTTTTGTCTTTTGACAATACAGATTCTGGACCTGGAGGATAAGATCAAAGAACTAAAAGTTATTCATGTCGCAGGAACCAAAGGAAAGGTTGGTTGCTTTTTCCACTTTTTGGAATTTCAAATTTAACTTGAAAAACATTTCAGTAGAAGGAATGTTGGCTCCAATCGGTTTGCCTTTGAATCTGTGTATTTCAGGGTTCAACATGTGTCTTCTCTGAAGCAATTTTACGTAATTGTGGGTTTCGAACCGGAATGTTTACATCTCCTCACCTGATCGATGTGAGGGAAAGATTCCGAATAGATGGGTAAGTTTCATCACTATATTGATGTTCAATGCTACATGAACATTGAGACCAAACTGAATGCTGTTTCGCTTTTCCAGCTTGGATATATCTGAGGAAAAGTTTCTACAGTATTTCTGGGAATGTTGGAAGTTACTCAAGGTAAACGACCCTTGTTGATATGCAGTGGTTTTGGTTCCAGTTCGAGATGTATGATTGGATGTAGTCTTTAAGTATTAGTCATTGCTCATTTTCTGCCACGCATTACCATAAGTCATGCAATTTGCAAACGGTGTAGATATCTAATCGTTAGCTTGTTCTTTGCAGGAGGAGGCTGTTGATGGTCTTACCATGCCTCCTCTTTTTCAGTTCCTCACAGTATTGGCATTCAAGATTTTTGTTTGTGAAAAGGTATATGAATAATCAATAAGCGTTGTGCACTTCTTTGTTTCCGAACCCAAGCAATGGTTGGTTAATATTCTGTAAAATCCTCGAAATTGCATCATAAGCTACTTGTAGTTATGCTCCTCTCAAAGTATATCACTTGCTTTCACACTTCCTTACAGTATTTGCTCTCTCACCAGCTGCTTTGACTGAGCTCCCATTTGTATTGAAACTTTACGTATTTGGCTAAAACCGGATGTTGACTACTATTATTCCTGATAGGTTGATGTTGCTGTCATTGAAGTTGGACTTGGAGGAAAACTTGACTCCACAAACGTGGTAAGCATCTTTTGAGAATCTTATGTCCTGAGTTTTCTGTCATATTTATTTAATGTTGGATATCTGTCTTCATTAAAATGGAAAATGTAAATTTACAGATTCAGAAACCTGTTGTCTGCGGCATTGCTTCTCTTGGGATGGACCATATGGATATATTGGGTATATGCCACACTATTTATTCTCAGCTCATCAGGAAATGTTCTTTCTTTCTCACGCTTTACTTTTCTAACTCTTAACTTCTCACTGCTAATTCTACGCAGGAAATACGCTAGCTGAAATTGCCTTACATAAGGCTGGGATTTTCAAGGTACAAACCTTCTGACTTCATAAGCTACTTTTCAAAAGGTTTCCTTTTTCTCGGAATTCTGTAATTGCAATATACTTGTTTCAAGTGTTCCAATGAGCAGATTCATCTTAGATATCCTCTGATTTGCTCTGTTTTCTTGTATGCTAATGAAAGCCTCAAATCCCCGCCTTCACAGTACCACAACTCTCTGAAGCAATGGAGGTTCTTGAAGAAACAGCTAATAACCTTAAGGTAACTAATAGTTATAGATTTTATATTTCATCCTGCTCATTCCAACTACTCCCACGGTTAGCTCTATAAATTAATCTACAAAAAAGTGGTAGTTCTGATAAGAGTGTATCGAATAATCAGGCAATCTCAGAATGTGTATTAGTGAATGGGATCAATATAAATTGTATAGGCTTGAATTGTTATCAAATGGTTTAGGTATACTGTTATGAAAATTGAACTACAAGGAATAAACATTAAATGGTGTATAACCTGCGTTGCAGGTTCCTCTGGAAGTAATAGCGCCTCTTGACCTTAAAAAGTTGGATGGAGTTGCACTTGGCTTGTCTGGGGATCATCAGCTTGTGAATGCAGGTCTTGCTGTTTCTCTTTCAAGATGCTGGCTTCAAAGAACTGGGAACTGGGAGAAGCTATTTCCAAATGTTAGGTTTTGCTCTTGGTTAATAAAACTTTCATCAAAACTTTCAAGGACTTTATTTGGTAAATCTTGTTTGTTCCTTTGGGATTTTGATCCACAGGGAAGCAATGAAACTGAGATTCCCGTGGCGTTTTATCGTGGTCTTGCAACGGCACGTCTTCATGGGAGAGCTCAAGTTGTTCATGATGTAGTTTCAGATCCGCAGGATTCGCCAGGCTCGATGAAAACTCCATGCGGTGATCTGATCTTTTACTTGGATGGAGCTCACAGTCCAGAGAGCATGGAGGCTTGTGGCCGATGGTTCTCTTCTGCAGTCAGAGGGAGCAAAAGCTTATCTACTCCTGTCAATGGTTACAAGAGACATGAGGAGTTTGGTAGAGACTTTAACAGAGTCTCCAAACAGGTACTTAAGACCAACAATGATCCATGCAAATCGACCTCTGTGTTTCATACTTTGATTTGACTTGTGAAGAGTTCCCATGTGTTAATAGATTCTTCTGTTCAACTGCATGGAAGTGAGAGACCCTCAAGTTTTACTTCCAAAGCTTGTCACCACTTGCGCTTCCTCAGGCAAGCTATACTCTGTTTTACTTCCAAATTACACTCTGTTTTTTTTTTTTTTTAGTTTTTTGGTAATGCTTATGCATATTGGTGAATGAAACACTCTCAGGCACTCATTTCTCAAGAGCACTTTTCGTCCCGAGCATGTCAAGTTACAACAAGGTCATCTCGGGCGCATCAGCGATTCCTTCAGATACACGTAAAAAGGATTTAACTTGGCAATTCAGGCTACAAAAACTCTGGGAGAGATCAGTTCGAGGAACAGGTAAGCTCAAGTTTTACTTCTTTGTACTTGGTTGATGTCGCGCCGAACCTTGATCACTATCTCCGGTGAGTAATCAGATGCTGCGCTTGACCATACATTGAAGCACGATGGAATAACCGCCTTACCACCTCATGATTTCCTGTGTGGAGATACACCACAATGTGGTGGACCTGCAGGGACACATGTCACTTCCAGCGCCGTGATGCCTTCACTTCCATTGACTATCAACTGGCTACGAGACTGCGTACGCCGAAACCCTTCATTGAAACTAGAGGTAAAGTCAAAGGCTCAAAGCTAAATTCATGATCCACTTCAAAGACAAGAATCAAAGCAGAGCATTGACTTCTCTGTTATTGTCTTCATCATTTGGGTAATTTTGAGTTTCTTATAATGTTTTATGCAACAGGTTCTGGTCACAGGATCGCTACATCTTGTTGGAGATGTGCTCAGATTGCTAAAGAAATGATAATTTTTTACCAAAGCTAAAAGAGGCTCCTTAAGAGTAATCTTACGAAGCTCCAATTGTTTTGTACTTCATTTTTCTTCATGGTTACAATTTGATTCTTTGGTCCATTTATCTAACATGAGAACCCTCTAAAAATAAGCTTTGTATTCTTCTGTTACACTTTAAATTTTGAATTTACATATCCTCTCATGTCTCATTTAGTTCCAAATTACATTTTCTTTTCGGTCAGGTATGATATATCTAAATTATACTAAACGTTGCACTTGGACAATGAACTGAATTGTGTATATAAACCGGAAAAAAAAGATTAACATAAGAACAAGAAAGTGTCATCCCAATCTAAACCATCCCTGAAGGGGAACCGGTTTGTAAACCGAAATGTCCCATACTCGATGACTCGCATTAAAAGGAACCTTATCTCGATGAAACTCTGAAAAATGAAAGAAGATCAAAAGACATAACTTTATTTGTTCAGTAAAAGATAATATGAGAAGATCGTCATCATTTCTGATCTTCACCGTTCTATCTCTTCCATTAATCTCAGCCGTAGGATGGAAGCTAAGCATACCGACGACGACGACGACGACGACGAGGCCGGTTGGGAGGAGTAGTAATCTTCGGGTGCGGGAAGGATCACCGTTCAGGATCGCAATCTTTGCAGACCTCCACTTCGGTGAAGACACGTGGACTGATTGGGGTCCACGTCAGGATCTAAACTCCGTTAACGTTATGTCATCCGTTCTCGACGCTGAAACTCCAGGTCAAGTCTTAAAAATCATTTCACCGAGTTACCGACTTACCGTTGAACAGTTTGCTACCATCATCTGTTTGTTTGTCTTGCTGCAGTTTTGTTGTCAAGTATCGTTGATAAGTAAGCATTTAATTACTAATTAAAGCCTAATATAATAATATCGGGACGTTCGGTTTTCATGTTGATGCCTAATAATATTCCGGTTCAATCCGGTTGAGGTTATCATCTTCGTTTGTTGGTCTAATTTTGAATCTTCTGATTGGATTGAATACACATCTCTATAAGCCCTTTAAAAAAGATTATTTCAACTGCAAGTTGTGTAATATTTATAAACAGATTTTGTGGTGTACTTGGGAGATGTAGTAACCGGAAACAACATAGCAATCGAAAACGCAAGCTTGTATTGGGACAAAGCAATCTCACCTACAAGAGACAGAAACATTCCATGGGCCACTCTCTTTGGTAACCACGACGACGCCTCTTTCGTCTGGCCTTTGGATTGGTTCTCTTCCTCCGGTATCCCTCCCATTCTCTGTCCCGCCAATATATCCAACTCCTACGATGGTGGATGCACGTTTAGAGGAACAACGCGAGTCGAATTGATCCAACAAGAGAAAAAGGCATCCAACGCACTCTCATACTCAGTGCTTGGTCCTAAGGAGCTATGGCCAAGCGTGTCTAACTACGTTCTTCCCCTCGAATCATCTGATCGTTCGAAACCGGCCGTTGCATTGCTCTACTTTCTTGACTCGGGCGGTGGTTCTTACCCGGAAGTTATATCAAATGCTCAGGTGGAATGGTTTAAAGCCAAGTCCAATACTCTTAATTCTGATTTAAGGTACACGAGTCATAACATTAAACATGTTTATATTAATTAGAGCATGATTAAAAATATGCAGATACATGTACATTTTCATTCATGCAGGATCCCGGAGTTGATATTTTGGCACATACCGAGTAAAGCATTCAAGAAAGTAGCTCCTAGGCTATGGATAACGAAACCTTGCGTCGGATCAATCAACAAAGAGAAAGTTGCTTCTCAAGAAGCCGAAAATGGTATGATGAGAGTTCTTGAGAAGAGATCTTCAGTTAAGGTACGTACTAAATATTCAACGAAGAAACATTTAGTTAGATGCAACAAAGTTTTGATATAACACTCTTTTTTTAACTATATTTTTTCGATATACACATATTGTTGGTACGTTAAGGCTGTGTTTGTAGGACACAACCATGGACTAGACTGGTGCTGTCCGTACAAAGACAGGCTCTGGCTCTGCTTTGCAAGACACACGGGTTATGGTGGATATGGGAACTGGTCAAGAGGATCAAGGATTTTAGAGATTACCGAAATGCCTTTGCGAGTTAAGTCGTGGATTAGGATGGAAGATGGATCCGTGCACAGTGAAGTTAATTTTAACTTGTGATTAGTCTATATTACGTAATAGCAATTTCTTTAATTTTAAATATTTGAATAGTCAACTTTGTGGACGTGACATTGCCGAGTTGTTGCCATTAGTAGAGATTCGAAAAGAGTAAGCAATACAAAAGAAAAGTTGTAGATTCGAGTTTTGAAGGCTCTACGTACGTAGTTGAACTTACTGAAAAGACAAAAGGAAAGAGCCCTGACGATTGTAGTACCAAAACGGACACACGTTAGAGCCAGCCTTGTGACGCATTTCATCAGAGAGTAGCAGCAAGAACCTTGACGAAATCAAATTTCTTTCGTGTTGTAAACACATGATCAACCCACTCAACTTTCCCCCAAATCTCACCGGGTTTGCGCTTTTCAAGCGCAATCTCTGCGCACCAAATCTTCTGTTCACAGTGGTCAAAAGGCGGGTACCACAACACCACCATGTTTCCACCATAATCAGCCAATTTAGCATCATCATGAGGAGGTAAGCTAGGTGGTAGTCCTACCAAACCCTTCAATCTTCTCCACAGGTTTACCTCAGTGTCATACCATCTGAACTTTCCCTGCATAACAGAGTACAAAACATTCTCTACCACGCAATAAGGCTCTGAACACGTAAAACTAAACATGGATGATTGAAAAAGGTCCCATCTACTTTCCTTGGAATCGTAAGCAAGCATCTCTTTGTCTGTGTCAGTCGTCACGTGGAACTTTCCGTCAATGCATGGAGTATGTTTCTGCAGGGAAACTTGTGGCTTTTAGCGGTGCAAGGCATGGGAAGAGGATCCCAAATTTGTGATTCAGTGTCCAACACCTCGAACAAGTTGGAATAGGAGTTTCCGTCTTTGTACCATCCTGCTACATGTATCTTATGATCAAGGACGCTAGCACAACGTGACCATAGCTTCACCCGGAGGCTTGGAGCCTCGCGCCACGTGTGAGACCGGCAATCCAGAACCCACACACTAGAGGACCTGGACGCGGCGATGTTGTAGATGCTAGAACCAACCGCCACGAGACCCTTAGGGCCAGCAGGAGGGGAATAGGGAATTGGGACTCTAGCCAAAACATACCCACGTGACTTGGTGTCATCGGTTAGGGTTTTATCAGGTTTCCGGCAGAGGGTGTACCAGTAGTACTTAGTACGGTACTGCATGCACACATAGACACAACTCTCGGTGTGGCCCAAGAGTGACCGGGTCTTGTAAAGCTCTGGTGAAGCTAGCAGAGATCGAAAGCTCTTGGAGACGAGGGACAGAGTCGGATGGTACAGCCTTGACACGCGTGCCAAGCAGTTTAACACCAAATCATGGGGAAGCGACAGAAACGAGCTCGGCGATGAAATTGGCGGTGTCGATGGAGACGGTTCCTTCTTCTTCCTCTTTTCCGGGGATGACGACATCGGCGGCAGAGTTGTTTGTTTGTTTGTTTCTTCTCTTTCAAGGAACAAGACAAAAGGTTAAATACTTGTTGGGCTTTATGGGCCGTCACTAAATTGCAAGAGTTTGGATCTTATTTGTTCACATACATTTCATTCTTTGGATTCTTTCCTTTATTGATAAAACATGGATAGTTTTACTCAAAAAGGTTATAAGGATGCGTTGTGAAAACAGTTTAGTTACCAAGTTATGGAAATTGACCAAGAAGATCAAGGATTTTGGAGATTACTTTAAGTCGTGGATCAAGATGGAAGATGCATCAGCATTTCTTTTTAAATTTGAATACTCAACTTTGTACAAGTGACATTGCCGAGTTGCTGCTATATGTACTCTGCAATTAAAATTCAAAAAGAGTATGCAATATATAATAAGAAAGTAATAAATTTCGATTTTTCAAGGTTCTACTACATATAGTTGAACTCCAAACCTCATCTCAATGGCTAAGTAGAAAAACTAAGTTACTGAAAGATTGGTCTAAGACAAAAGTAAAGAATGCTTCATTAAGGATCTGCTGAAATGGAAGAGAATGTCTTGGACATGCTTTCTCTTCTCCTTCTAGTTAAACTCACCAAGCTACTTTAGCTCCTTCCACTTTTGCTTACACAGGACGCTGCGTGGTTTTCAGATGATGGAACTGGTTTTTGCTCAATCCTAGTAACATAAACATTTGTTTGTCGGAGACAACTCCAAATACGATTCCTCTCCCTTTCTCGCATCTAGAAGAGCTGGTTCCTCAGGATATTGATGATGGTATCAAGGACTTCCTTATTTTTCTCCAAATACTTTTCAGCTGCGTCTTTCCCATCAACGACCTCGCCTTCAATGAAATGGCTATTTCCTTCTCTTACGATAACCCCATGCTCACAAGCCAATTCTAGTACCTCACGCTCCACGTAGAATCCACGACCAAACTGAATCCCCAGTTCAGATTTCTTCTTTCCCGGCGTCAGTTTATTTTTCACCACTTGGACGCACACATTCAGACCACTTATCTGAGGAATGTGTTACAGTCAAAAACGTGTAGCTGACACACTCTTCTTTGCAGAAATCAAGAGCAGTGTTGACAACAAAACGTGCTTACATTACCTTATTGTCAGTCTTTATGAGCCCGGTTCTTATCATTTTGAGACGTATCGCTGCCTGAAACCGCAATGCGTTTCCCCCACAAGTCACTTCCTCCGCGTGTGGGAACCGCATGCTATATTTGGCATGTGATCTGACCTGTGTACCACAGAAAAATCAATTAGCAGAGAGATGTTATCTTTTTGTAGAGGAGGATACATCACCATGTTTCTCTAATTACCTGATTAAGAAAAACGATCAGTGTCTGAGAATTGGCAACTGAGTAGTGGATTTTTCTGAGCGCCTGTGTCATTATTATTGATTGTCTGTCTCTGTATCTTTCTCCTAGAGGAACATCAAGCTCACATTGAGGGGCAAGAGCAGCAACCTGTAAATCCCCCGCACTTGTAATATTAGCAGGACGCAGAGAGGAATACAAGAACATGTACATATATATTGAGATGAAAGAAACGACAACTCACACTGTCAACCACAATTACGTCTACTGATCCACTCTTGGTTAGCACATCGACTATACTTAGCATATTTTCAGCAGAGTCTGGTCGTGATATTAGAAGCTCCTCCGTGTTCACACCTATTGACTCTGCTAGAGTAGGATCCATGGCATTCTCCACATCAAGATAAGCGCAATAACCTGGCCCAAACATGTTTTTGTTTTAGAAAAATTAAAAGCTTATGGACTCAAACACTGAAAGATTAAAGCAAGTCAGATCTGTGTTCCCAACTTAGGACAGATTTATTGAACTGAACATGAAAGATTCAAGAAGAGTACCTCCAAGCTTTTGAGCTTCCTTGATGATATGAAGAGCTAGAGTTGTCTTTCCAGAAGCTTCTTTTCCGAAAACCTCAACCATTCTTCCCTACAAATGTTCTCTTGTAAACACACATTTAGAGACAGACGACAATACTTTTGAGTTGGCTAAGCCTAACTCAAGACTCTAAAATTGAACAAACCTTTGGCAATCCTCCAACGCCTAGAGCAAGATCAAGGTTGAGTGAGCCCGTAGATATCACAGAAACTCTGCGTGACCTGGAGAAGCGCTGCAACCACAGCTTAGAGTCTTGATCAAAAACACCTGAAACTGAGAGCTGTGACAATGCCGAACGCAGATTAGTGTCTCTCTCCGCTACTTTACTATCATCTGGACCTTCATCAAGCTCACAGTCTGAAGCTTCAACTAACCAAATGGAAGAAGCACTCTCGTTAAGAGACAGAAGAAGCTTCAGCAAATCGCCAATGAAAAAGGATATAACTGATAATTACCTAGAGACGAAACATAACGGGTTCCATAGTTAGAGCAAGCGAGAACGCCTCTGCTTCCGTTCTGCTACAGAAGACCAAAAAGAGAACAAGACAAGAACAAGATTTAAAAAGGTGATATACCAGTTATTCAGAAGCTTCAGCAAATCACCAATGGAGATGTTTGTTTCGGTTAGAACCAAGAAAAATGCAGTCTGAAAAATCAAGTCTTTCACTATAGTACAAGAAACTCTTTAAATCTCTCAAAACTTTGGGGGCAGAAACCGAACAACTTAACCGTTGTTGAGAAAACAAAGCGAGGGGAACGTTAAAGAGTAAGAGTAACAAAATTACGCAGAACCTGAGATAAGTAGGAGAAGAAACGGAATCTCTGAATCGGCCTGGTCAGTGCGAGTCGACCCATGCCCCGTTTCTTCTTCCGGCGGCGCGTGTTCTGACAGACGCGGCGGCTCCTCCTTCTCTTTGTCGGAGCGTCTTGGTGGCTTCTGGCGACAAAAGTGTTAATTGATTTCCCGTTTTTATTTTTATCTATTTCTGTTCATAATAATTATTCCAGCAAATCGAAAACCGATCGGTTCATGGCTAGAAATTTATCGGTACGGTTTAATATTCCATATAAGCAAAGAAAATTTGTTTATTTGTGTTAGCGAAGGAAATTCGGAGAAATGATGATGAGCTCCATCTCCATTGAATCATCATCATCATCCCTTTCTCTTCTCCCTTCATCTCAGAAGAAATTCTCCGTCTATCTCCGTTCGTATCCGAACCGTAACCAGACATGCTCGATTGTTTGCTCCGGCGACAGAACGGCGAGGGTGATGGCTATGGAAAGAGTTAATCGGCGGCGGCAGAGTCGAGATTTTTCGGCCAGTGAAGCTAGGGTTTCTCTCGTTCTTGCTCTCGCCTCTCAAGCATCCTCTGTATCTCAACGCCGTAAATGTTCTATTCTATCTTCCGTAAGCTTCAGCTGCTTCTATTGCCGCAAATTCGTAACTTGGTTTCATTTTGGGTGTATCAGTTTTGGCTGATTTGGCGGTGGAGACTGCGAAATATGTGTTTCCGAAGAGGTTCAATAGCTCGAATCTCGAAGAAGCGTTCATGTCTGGTTAGTTTGTGACTTATTGATGATTGTGACTTTGTGATTCTGTATCATCATTTTTCAAAAAAAGTTGCATTTGGCTCTAGTTCCGGATCTCGAGACAATGGAATTCAGAGTTGTAAGTAGGACAGATAAGTACGAGATTAGACAAGTCGAGGTGGTTCTTTCTCTCTCTCTCTGTTACTCTTACTCACACACATTCTCTGTTTTGAATATGGCCTCACTTTAAAGCTATGAATTTTGGAACAGCCTTATGTTGTGGCCGAGACTACAATGCCAGGTGAAACTGGATTCGACTTCTATGGCGCTTCTAGGTCTTTCAATGTGTTAGCTGATTACCTGTTTGGTAAGGTAATATGAAGCATTCCTTTTTGAATTTTGCTGCACCTCTGTTATGGTTTGAATCATGTTTTGCTTTAGCTCTGGATACTCAGTGTTTTTGTTCAAACAGAACACAGTGAAGGAGAAAATGGAGATGACGACTCCTGTTGTTACTCGTAAAGTCCAGTCTGTTGGCAAAAAGATGGAAATGACTACTCCCGTAATAACTAGAAAGGTTAATATCTTATCAATGGATCTCCTTTTCTCCCAATTTCTTACCTTTCTTTTAACATAGACAAAAGCATAGTTGGAGTAACTTTGACTGTGTTGGTTTATTACTATTGGGAGCATCACATCCTTATGTTCTTCGCAACTGCTAGATTCAGCTTATTAGTTTGCTCATAGAAATTGTAAAGTTAGTTCGGATTCACTTTCTTGAATGGTCTCTTTTACTTAGTATCTTATATTTTTGCATGTATACTCTCGCTTCAGGCAAGAGATCAAACGCAGTGGAAGATGTCTTTTGTCATGCCCTCAAAGTATGGTTCAAATTTGCCATTGCCAAAAGATCCTTCAGTCAAGATTCAGGAGGTGCCACGAAAGATTGTTGCTGTCGTCGCCTTCTCAGGTAAAGATACTCTGATTTCACTTCCACACGAGACGATCCACTAGTTTGAATAACACCGTCCCCATTGATTAATGTCAAAATATTCACAAGTTGCTCTAATGAAAACGAGTGTTTTTTCTCTCGATGCTCATAAACTCGCTAAGAAAGTAATGTCTAGTCTAATGTGTGATACACAACATGTTCATGGTCCCAGATACATATGTTTCATTGAAAGGAGGGTACCTTCTAAAGCATCTACCAAAATCATTTGTCTTGTTATCTGATGAAAAAGGATCAAACTTTATTTCAGGCTACGTTACAGATGAAGAGATTGAGCGACGGGAGCAAGAACTAAGGAGAGCTCTTCAAAATGACAAGAAGTTTCGAGTGAGAGATGGAATTTCAGTTGAAGTTGCACAGGTTCATCAACAATCATGGCTAAGTTGATCCAAATCAAAACTTATCTCTTTAGACTCTCTACTTACACTGTGCAAATTCATTCGCTGCAGTATAATCCACCATTCACTCTCCCGTTTACCCGCCGGAACGAGGTCTCTCTCGAAGTCGAAAGCAAAGAAGATTAGGACAAACATATGTATACATACACAGTTGTACACAGTTATATATGAGTTTGTGTAAAAGACAAAACGCGTTTACTTGGATAGTTGAATGTAAGTGGTAAATGCCAATGGTCTTGAAAACCATTTTCTTCACCCACCATTATGGATCTTTACTTTGTTTATAGGCCACTAGAGATGCCTATTATAGGCCTATAGGCTTTGAAATTAACCCAAACAAGCATTCACACTTTTATCTTTTTGAAAATTTCATCATAACAATGTAATATTCACATTTTCTTTTTGGGTTTTAGTACAAAATCTTAAAAGTTTCTAAAAAAGGATATCATGTATTACCCCTTGGAACATTATTTCTGGGAATTACATGCCTTCTTTTTGAGTCTCTCGTATCTATCTATGTTATATATGTCATGTATATATATATGTAGAATTGGACATCCTGTAGGCTAATCAGATTCAGGGATGCTATCTAACAAAGGTCTCCAGCCTCTGTGACACTCATCATCACCATCATCATCATCATCGTCATCACCACCACATAGATGTTGCTTCGCAAGACTCTCATAGACCATTTCTTGAATTGATCCTCCTTGAAGCAGCTTCTCAAGCTCTTGCTTAGTCACAACCATCTTTACTCGTACAACACCAACACTTTTCTCGTTGGTGTTGTCACCACAATCGGTTAATCTGTCTTCATCTTCTTCTTCTTCTTTTTCCACCTCTGGATTTGCAAACCTGACTTTCTTCTCGGTCTTCTTGTGCTTGATGATTGTGGTGATCTCCTTGGGCATGAGATAGTAGAGACGACCACAGAGAAGCTTGGATTGTGGAGGAAGATGACAATTGTTGGAGAGAGAGTCGAAGAGAGAGTAGTGGCCAGAGAATTGGGTGAGTATGTCATGAACCTTCATGGGTCCTCTGTATTCAACTACTTTCCCATCATTTCTCATTATCTTTATCACTTTCTTCTCCATTACTATACAATTCCCCATCTTTTATCTTTTTTAGATTTTTTCTTGCCTTACTTTAGTTTGTGATTTCTTCAGTGTAGATTATATTATGTTGAGTTTTTGCGATTATGCGTCTGTATATTTATAGAGTTTAGGGTTATATAAATGCCCTTGTTTTTTTAGAGTATTACGAGGAGTGCCATTATCTCTGGTGGGCCCCTGACTGATCTTTATCTCATTCTCTTTAATATTTTTATATATTATCGTGGTGCGGTGTGTGTGGTCGGGTGGTGCCCTCCTAATTATACTTTCAAACAAATAATTGGATCTCCAAAACTAATTTCGTTTTTTTTTTCCACATAATGTTACACAAAGAAAACGAATTTCGATTTTTTCACATTAAAGATCTCGGAATAGTTGTAGTAGTTGTGGTTTGATTAGTGTGGTCAAAATATGAGGTTAAAAGACTTAATAGAAATAAAAATGGTATATAAAGACTACTCTTTTATAAAAAAACGACTAAGCATATTTTGGGTGAAGAATGTCCCGAAAAGATGTTATGCTCCCAAGTACATGTCGTGCATCAGCGTTGCCTCGAATGTTTCTTTTTGTTTGTGTTTTTGGAACACACTGATCGTACCAATATGTAATTGCTACCATTTTAAATTACATTTGTCTATGAATAATCTAACTATTTCTATATTCTTGCCTTATACTTATGATTTATCGCTTTGTATATTCTTGAAGAAGTATGAATATCTTATATATAGGTGGTACAAGATAATCAAATTGATTAATTTTAAAATGTATGGAAATTTTTCTTTAACAACTCTCGGATGTTCTTGTTGAAAGAGGATATATCTTGTGATCTCCTCAAAACTTAAGATTTGGTCATGTATAAAATAAAATCTCATTTCATGTCGGTTTATATAATATATCTACACTTTTTGCCACTGGTTCTTTTGTCAACATTAAAATGATTTTGAACATCCAAGTTGTTTTTAAAATAATCGGGCCCTTATATATTTTCCGCATTAATATTGGATCTGTTATATTCTTTAACATTTTACGAGTGATTGCATTACAGTATTACACCAACCATATTTATATACTTTAGTAAACATCTAACCTCTTTTGTTTTGTTTGTATCAACTGTTTTTTTTTTTTTTTTGACAAAAAGGGTTTTCAATTAAAATGCATGAAACAAAATACAAGCTATGACTTTTGCAAGTCATACAGTTTAACATCTAACAGTTACAACCATTAACAATCTATAGTTTCATCACTTTATGTTTAAGTACCTATTGACCAAAAAAGAATAGGGTTTTAGCGGAGGCTTGCCTCTGTATCTAAAGGTGGAGCCACTAGGAGTCTAGGAGGACCACAAAAGGAGTCCAAATGACTTTTGATGAGTGGATGTCATCACTTCCAAATTCGAAGCACTACTTGCTTTCTATAATCATTCTTACATTGAATATTTCTTTCCCATTTCTCTTCATTGCTAACATGCACCGCAGCCCAAGGTCTCACTTTTCTATATTACCGATATTTCGTTAGTTGGAAATTCACAATATTAACCCCATTTCATTATACATTTTTCATTTGTTTCATTCTTCTCACTAATACGACATGTTATCGCTATTTTATATATATATAAAAAAAAATATTAGTGAAAACGCAATATCATATAAACATATATACACTGCCAAGATTGCTGCATACAATAGCCTTATTTGTTTGCATTTACTTAAGTTTAATGATTTTCTTAGCTTTGCATTGTTGGTCGGAACTTGATTGAGCAGAAAGGGTTCATGCTACGTCTTGAAAATATTTTGGTACTTTTTAAGCCTCTCATTTTCTAGACCCCTTTACTCAAATTTCTTTCTTCTGTAATGTCGGATAATATATTAACATGTTGATTCTAATACCATGTGATATAAGAATCTAGCTTATAATAAGTGAAACTAAACGCACAAGATTCACTTAAAACTCAACTAAATCTTATTTTGATAACGTGGGGTATATCCCCCTACGTACGTACTTCCAAAAAGAAACTATACAGAAGACAAACCAATTCCTTGTACGCTTTAGTTTGGTTATATTTTAAAATTTTCTTTTCTTTTAATTTGGTTATTCACCAAACTTGATTTCTTGTGATCCCTTAAAGAAGTTGCATTCAGGTCTGCCTAAAACAAATTCGACGTCATATATTAAGTTTTGGCATGGAGAAAAATGGATCGATAGCATATATATTTAGCTTATCTATATAACAAGAAAACCGAACAATCGTTACGACTTAATATGTTGCTACTTGCCCATTATAGGCTATAGCTTTACCAAACTTTATGTATCCATCACTATCTCACATATACACATATGTACTTAAATTCCCTCTTAATTACGTAAGCTTACGCAAAGTTGATATATTTTTGGAGAATGTGGTCCATTTCATCAACTATAAGCATAAAGTGCTTACGTTGTTGATAAGTGGGTTCGAATAGGTTCCACCAGTGAAGCATATTTCAAATTCTGTATTTTTTTCCTTGGCAATGAGGAATTTTTAAGTATGAATTCATATTAATCTCGATACATACATATGATATTTTTACCTAGTGAGCAGAAATAAAATTAATCCGATATAAATCTCTGACCAACTGAGTTCTTTTACCCAATTCGATCAGTTGACCTTAGTGGGTTTAGATTTTTTTACTTTCCTCTTTTTTTGGTCGGCAGAATTTTTGTCTTTCTATTCAAAGAAAATAGTATTTTTTTTTTACTGTGTGGATTTATATGTTCACGTTGACCGTTGATTTGGAAGACACTCAAAGGTAATGAGTGTAGGAAACTAAGAACATAGAGGTAAAAGACAAACAAATAAAGATGTATACAAATGGGTGGGTAAAGAAGAAATATTTAGGGTTTTTTTGGGTGGTGAATGGTGGATGTTGATGCTCTTAAGCAAAATATAAACAATTAATTTTTGCGTTGCTTACAATGTAGGGCATTGAGTGCTCTCCCCTCTTAGTGGTGGCGGCAGAAAAATTGTTAACATGACAGAGATTGAAATTTAATAAATTTTGTTGTAAAATATAACGAATACTCAGTCCATAGATACTTTATCCATATGTTCATACGATGATACGAATTGTTCGACAATATGTGAAGATATTTCTTAGATAAAGTTATTTTGGAACCGTCCCTGATTGTAAGTGGAGTCCGATATATACAACAAATTAAAGGCCAACTAGATTTTGTGGGGATTTTCATTTTAAAAATATATGCAATGCATCAGCCAACATTCTGGACCGGTTTCCGGTTATGGACAAGGGTTTCTCCACCTTTTTTTTTGTACATTCTTATTCTTCATTATTGCTTGCTATGCAGGGGAAAAAAAATGTGATGATCATATATTGAAAAGAAAGGTGATGATCTAAATCCCTACGAAAATTCCTACAAAAATTATTTAAAACAAGATTGGTTAATCACTTGTACTGAATGATACGATAGAAAAAGCTTGTGTTGTTAACCAGTGCATTAAGGAACATTTTAAGCAACAAACCAAGAAATCGTTTGTCAGTTACTTAATTATAAAAGTTTGACTATTGTGTATCTACTCTAGTACTGCTTATTAGGGTGCCTATATACTTCAAGTATTTCATTCTTGTATTTCGTCTATAATCTAAATTTGTTCATAGAAAAATCATTAGCGAAGAAATGTACCAGTGATGTTTTGGTATATGAACTTTTAGAATTAAGCTGCCACCAAAACAGTATTTGTGTTTTTATCTATTGTTCCTATTACAGAAAGTAGTATATGTAAGACATTATTGTAGATCATAAAACATAATGATGACTGCAACTATTGTTTGTTCATCATTATCTGACTCCTTTATTTAACTTCATTCACAAGCAAATCCAGCAATTCATCGCATGCCCTTCTAACATCATTGCCATAATTGGTGATATTAAGGTGGATTTAATGTAAAATTACTTGAAAGTAATATCTTGCAAGTCGAAGAAAAGTAATGTATCAGGAACGATAGTAAAAAGATATACTATCATTTTTAAAAAAATACTTTTTACTGCGATTCGTCCGCATTTGCTTCGTACACCCATAACCATTTAGAGCAAACACATGGCAAACAATCTTTTGTAATAATAATGCAATTAGCTCGTTTTAAAAATATTTGGTGAGAAAGACAGACCAACTTCATTCCAGACTAAAAAGAGATGGCAAATGACGTCATAATTGAGGTTTAGCCCACTAATATATCTTTCTAAACCTTTACCACAGAAAAACGATGTTTATATTTCTCGAATTAGTATTTTTTTTTGCTTTCTTCCCTAGAATAATTTTTCTTTCTTCCCTAGAATATCAATAGATAACAAAAGGCATAGGCAACAGATTCATCATTTTGAATATTATGTAATTATATGTACAATGGCGTTGGCGTGCGCATACAGCACGCCTACATGACTCTTTTTCAGCCCATGCGATAAGATTTGGACCAAATTAAGAGTCTTTGCCCATTTTGGTTAAGCGTTAAACCAAAATCACCTCTCGAAACAGATGAAAACCAGATCGAATCTCCACTGCAAACTCCCCAGAAATGCAACGAAAATGTTTGGAGATTAAACCATCTTCAAACCTAGGTTTCTGATCATTTGATTGGTTCAAATATCCACCCATGAATTAAGTTGATTTCACACAGAATGGCAATGTTGGTTTGGTTTATCAAACCATACGCAAACAATGTACCGGAAATTGAACTGGGCTAACTCAATTTCTCATTTAGTCCTCCAAACATCTGCTGCCTATTTAAACCGTACAACACAAGTCTTCTTCACGCCTCAAAACCAAAGTAAGAAGATGGAAGCAAACACATTGTTTCTTCTAAAAGCTCTTCTTCTTGTCTGTTTCGAAGTCTGCCTCACATTAGCTTCCGACCCCGACCCGATCCAAGACTTCTGTATTCCAAAACCAGTCACATCTCCTGATCATCACCATCACTTCTACACGAATCTCCCTTGCAAAAACTCCTCCGAAGTAACCACAGAAGATTTCGTCTTTTCCGGTCTAAAAACCGCCGGAATCTTCACCGAGACCGGGCTAGCCACAGTCCCCGTAAGCCCTACAAACTTCCCGGGCCTAAACACACTGGGTCTATCGTTTGTCCGAGCTGATCTCAAAGCCGGAGCTATAAACCCGCCACATTACCACCCGCGGGCCACGGAAGTAGCTCACGTGGTTAGAGGGCGGGTTTACTCCGGTTTTGTGGACTCGAACAATAAGGTTTACGCTAAAGTGATGGAAGAAGGAGAAATGATGGTTTACCCAAAAGGGCTTGTGCATTTTCAGATGAACGTGGGAGATGTTACGGCCACGATTTTTGGCGGGCTTAATAGCCAAAGCCCCGGGATTCAGAAGATACCGTCGGTTGTTTTTGGGTCAGGGATCAACGAAGAGTTGCTTATGAAAGCTTTTGGATTGACTCTTAAGCAGATTGGTACGTTGAAGAGAAGATTTGATCCTGTGATGGCGAATGAACATTAATGTTTTCTCTTAAACGAGGTTATATTAACTTTATGGAAACTATGATGTATTTATCTTTGTGTGTTCTTGATCATTATAAGGCTATTTCTACTTTTTGATCCAAAAAAAGTTTACCTATATCTCTTATATATATTCATATTCATTAATCATTATCTATCTCGAACTACACTTAACATTTTGAATCCTGAACTACACAAATTTAATCAGCACTAAAAAGCCTTACGACTCATACCCTAAAGAAACTTCTCCAGCTCACCAGCTCTAAAATTTGACAATGTTTTGTCCAAACTCAAACTTCTCCACTCCACAAACTTATCTAATGTATCGTTACGGTAAATTGATTTCTGTAAATTTTGAACATACATTACGTGAGAACAAATGTAGACACATTTTAACATTGAAATGTCTGTGTTAAAACAAATTTAGGTGAAAAAAAAACGTATCAAGGTTTTGAGACAAACGAGAAACAGAACATTATATACAAAGAAAAATTTGAACAGTTCACTAATTGGGCTGAAGAGTATAAATTATGAGTGAAAAACAAAAGATAGTAAATAAACAAATTGGGCTGAATAGTAAATATTATGAGTGAAAAACACCAAAAAGAAGGAAAGATTAAAGGCCCAAAAATGGCATGTAGTGATAAAATTCCTTATGCGGGTTATCTTAGATGCGGTTTAGTGGTATCATTTCGTACCGGAAGTACCGGTTTGATACGATATATCTTTCTATAAACCCAATATCCCTTCCCTCCACATACACTGCTTTTTCATGGATCAGCCACGGCAAAGCTCGACGGCGGCTCAGCCACCGGAAACTCCAACTCAACCATCGGAGACGGCTTCGAAACCGTCGGTTTTAACACAGATTCAGCAACCGCCTTCCACGAATCCGATTTCCTCCTCCGTTTCCTCTATTCCTTCTTCCCCAGCCTCCTCGCAATCACCATCGCCCAGTCCGAACCCTAATCCTCCTCAATACGCGCGTCCGGTGACATCTCCGGCGACGCAACAGCAGCAACATCTCTCCCAGTCTTTGGGGCGACCTCCTCCGCAGGCGTACTCGAGACCATGGCAACAACACTCCCCATACACTCACTTCTCCTCCGCATCGTCGCCATTGCTATCTTCCTCGTCGGCTCCAACCTCTTCCTCTTCGTCTTTGCCTATTACTGGGCAGCAAAGAGGCGGCATGGCGATTGGCGTTCCAGCTTCCCCAATACCGAGCCCCTCTCCTACGCCATCTCAGCCTTCGCCTTCTGCTTTTCCGGGATCTTTTGGGCAGCAACACGGCGGATTGGGCCGTGGAACAGTCGGAATGTCAGAAGCGACGTCCAATACAAGTGTCTCGCAGGTGAAATTTTCTCTCATGTCCCAAAAAAATTGTGTTTGCTGTAGCTAAGTCAAAACAAAACACTAACTTTTCGTGTGTGTTCAGGTTAGGTTGATGCAAGGACCTCAAGGAATTGGGATGATGGGAACGCTTGGCTCAGGTTCTCAAATGCGACCAAGTGGGATGGCTCAGCACCAACAGAGACCGACTCAATCCTCTCTAAGACCAGCTTACTCTCCAAGTAGCCAATCTCCTGTTCCCCAAGTAGGTACTTTTGAATGTTCTTGTGATTCCCTATAAGATTATGCATGTGTACCTTGAATGATAGGAGCTTTGTGAGTAACTCATTGTAAAGAATAAATTTTTGCGTTGTGATTTGAGAATGATTATAGCTTCATTAGTTCAAAACTTTTGAAGTACTAAGATATGAATTTTCTGTGAAACACGCTAGCAAACCAATCGTTTCTCACATCTTCCTTTAATTTGTTTACAACTCCCGTCTTACCATCACTTGGTGATACATATACATAAGAGCTTAATTGATGTAGTATCGTTGAGCCACTTAACCTTGTGAAATCTTCCTGCTCTTTTCTTATAGTGTTGTTTTCAACTCAATCAAAGTCCTTGCTGATAAGCTGAATTGGTTCTTGACAGACAATCTTTTCTTTCATTGTTGACTTGTTGTTTTGGGTCCCTTTAGACAACCCTTAGTGAACTTTTTTGCCGACCTTTGACTCATTATTTTTTGCTTCTGGCAGAACTTTCAAGGGCACAGCCTTATGAGACCTTCACCTATTAGTTCTCCTGGTGTCCAATCTACTGGTGCTGCACAACAAAGCTTGCAAGCCATTAATCAACCATGGTTATCATCTTCTCCCCAAGGGAAGCCGCCTCTGGCACCCCCTTCATATAGACCGCAAGTAAATACTCCCTCCATGCAACCAAGATCTCATCTTCCTCAGCAACATCTTTCCACGTCACCAGCGACTTCACAGCCTCAGCAACAACAACAACAACCTCAACAACAACATCAGCCTCAAGAGCAACTTCAACAATTGAGATCTCCGCAGCAGCCTTTGCCCCACCCACATCAACCGAACCGGGTCCAAGGGTCGGTAAATCAGAAAGCTGCTTCTCTAGTAATGCCAACCCAGCCTCCCGTGCCTCAATCAGGAAACCAAGCTAAAACAGTTTCAGATGAGAATGAGGAGTCTGATAATCGTATCCTGGGGAAAAGAAGCATCCATGAGCTACTTCAACAGGTATCCACTGACTTCTCTTTATATTGTCAACTTTGGGTATGCCATTTTGCATATTGACCGCGTAATAGAGTAGCATTCTCGTTCTCATTCTCACGGCTTGATTCTCACTTAATGAATAATTGATTTCTTCCACTTGGTTAGATCTTTTACGGAAAAATGAGAATGTATATTGGTCAAAAATAAATAGAAGAGATAATGTGAGTGATCCAACATATATATCTAGTTATGCTTTGGTGTTCTACGCTCAAGCTCCCTGCATGATATCCATTGGGTTTTTATTCTCTGAATCTAGTATGCCTTGCCTATCCACAGATTGATCCCTCCGAGAAATTGGATCCAGAGGTTGAAGACATCCTTTCTGATATTGCTGAAGACTTTGTGGAGTCGGTAAGTAACTCACACCACATTGTTTTCCAACACGTTTTATGTGAATATCGTGATAGGGTTAAGAGTTAAAAAAAATTATGTCTTCTGACTGGTTTTGTCACTAACTCCAGCTCGTTGTGTTTGTGTTTATCCAGATCACAACTTTCGGCTGTTCTTTAGCCAAACATAGAAAGTCAGATACTCTGGAAGCTAAGGACATCTTGCTCCATGTTGGTTCGTTCTGATTGATACTGTGTGCCCGTTTCTTCTGATTTGTGTTTTCCATTTACAATGTTTAATATCGTTTTTGTATCTCAAATGTAGAAAGAAACTGGAACATCAGGCCTCCTGGTTTTAGCAGTGACGAGATCAAGACATTTCGAAAGCCAGTAAGAAACATTTACATATTTGTTGTGTAGTCAATTTTGTCTAAACAGGGAAATATCATTACTTACCCAAGATAGCTTCTAACTCCTTCGGTTGTTTTATTGGATAATGTTTTTGCAGCTGACAACAGATATTCACAAAGAGAGACTTGCCGTTGTAAGTTGTCAATAGTAAAAAGCACACGTGATTTAAAACATCCGTAGAAACCAGTAATAGATTATGCAACTGAGTAAAGAACAAAAAAAAAACTCAGATATTGAAGTTTTTTCGTGTTGACTTTGGGTTTTGAAGATAAAGAAGTCAGTCACAGCAACGGAAGCAGCTAACGCCAGGAATCCGTATGGGCACGGGACGGCTAATGCAAGAAGCGGTCAGGCAAAGACGCCTGCAAGTGCTAATCCCATGGCCTCTACAACTTTTAATCACTAGATTAACCCCTTCCCCATTCGTCTTTGGTTAGGAATTTTTAGTTACGAGCCATTTTGTAACTTTATCTACTAGATCTCAGTCCAATCATGGATGTTCCTGCCTAGATCTTAATTTTAACCATAAGAAAAGTATCTTACCACCTTATTGGATTGAACTGATTACCATTTTTCTTGCAAAGGCACAAAAGTGTACGAACAGATGATGAGATGCTATTATGAACCCGGACTAGCCGGTATGATTATCCATTAAACCCATTCTTCTCTGATCAATTTTTTTACATTTGGGAGTTGTACAAATACAATCTTTAGTTCAGTTTTTGCTTCTCATAAATATCTTAGCCTTCAACGATCTTCACAGGCGTCCTGTAGAAAAAAGCCGAGAAGATTACATTTAAGGCATGTGTTTGTTTTGTCTATATGAGTTTAGTGTGCGTTTCAAACAATTGATCTCACATACCCGAAAGGACTCTGCTTGATTGATAACAGCTCAATGTCAAGCTGCAATAGAAATGCACAACCAAAACATGAACACTCTTTTTAGAAGGAGCCTGGAAACTACTCGAACCGATTCAATTTCTTAACGGCGTAGCTTTGATTACCTCGATTGTTGCATTTGGAGGAATCTCTTGCACTCCTTTCTTCCCGTAAGCAAGCTCGGGAGGAACAATCACCAATCTCTGCATATGAATCTCTCAAGTGGTCATCCAAAACAAGACTTTGACTCTACGAAAGCCTTTTCGGTTTCAAGAACTAACCTGACCGCCTACACGCATCCCTTCAACGCCGAGGTCAAGTCCTTTGAGAACATTCCCTTTCTCTGACTGCCCAACGTCAAACCCGTACGGCTGCACAAAAAATAAAACTCTTACGTTATCAATTAAGCATCCTCGAATATTCAACTACATCAATGGATTCTCTGTGATCGCCTTTATACCGACCGTTCCACCTCCAACTCCAAGTCCTTGTCGACTTGTCATGAACGTTATCCCTTTCCATTTTGCAACATAGTGAACCTGCAACACAATCTCTCTAAGTTAAGCACCCAAAGCTTGTTTATATCCGTAAGCTTTTACAAAAAGTTAACCAGGAAACGTATTCACAACCGTACTGCGACCCGAGATCCTTTCACAGCCTCTGCTCCGTTTCCAACTTTGATATCATAGTACCTGCAACAAATGATACAGAATGCTAAACCTTTTTCCCCATAAAGACTCAAATCTCTCAATCCTTCTTGCGATACATGTACTCTTTCGTCTGAAACATTTCGAATGTCTTATAAACGCAAATTTTCAACTATTGTATGAATGCATCATGATCTTGGTGTATTATGGTAAAGGGGAAATGTACGAACTTGAGACCATTGGGGAGAGTCGTGAATTCGCTGTCTGGTATCTTGGATGCACGTAGCTGCAGAGCATTGTGTGTAAGAGAGTGATTTTGAGTCAAGAACAAGCAATACATCTATAGATATCTTTACTTACAGCTCTTCTGCTGGTGCTTACGGCTTCGGCTGAATCTGTTAACAGAATCCCATAACCTGTTTTGATTCAGACAAACAACGTTTTGAGGATTTTGATACATAGATTGATTGAAAGCTAAGCTTAAGTGTGGAAATGCAGATAACTGATTGGTAGTAAAGGAAAAGAATCTAACTGGCGGCGAGGAGACATCCAAGTAAAGCCCTTCTTCCTTCGTGGCTCACCGGCGCCGGAGAAGCGACGGTCTCTGATCTGATGACCCTTTCGCCACCGTGAGACGGTAACGAGCACCGGTAAGGTTTGGATTGCCTTCTTCCTGCGAGTTTTGGAAAAAGAAACAATGTTTTTTTGCTTGATTCCGTATCTTGATTCTTGGTTCAAAACGTACTAATGCTAATACACTTAAACGTAATAGTGAGGGAGAAACAGAGTGTACTTGATGGGAAAGGAATGGTGGAAGAGAATGATTGATGGAGAGGGTGAACAAGTTTCATTGTTAAGATCATTGTTCGGATTTGATTCGATGTTTTGTGTTACTTAACAGATTGTTGTATCCTTGAGTCAAAAAAACTTTTTCATTCTTGTCTTTCTTCTTCTGAGTTTGATGATGAGCTCTCAAACTGAGGATAAAGAGAAAGATGCAAAGGGATAAAACTGGAATTCTCATCCACAAGCTTAGGATTTCAGATTTTCTCACCGTTACTTGACGTCGTTAGGCCCTAAAACGGAAAACTAAAAATATAATATTTGATTTCGCTAAACCAAAAGTGTGTAAATTACTAATTAGAGGTGGGGGATCAAATTGCTTCTTTCTTTTAATTTTTCTATACTCACTCTAGTCTCTTCTGATCTTAAATCTGTTTGTTATATTATTTCACCAACGTGTTTTTGTTAATTTAGAAATATAAACATGATACTTTATGAATTCATGTGCTTACAATCTCTTTGTAGCTGTAGCCTTGTACCTAACAGACACGAGCAAAGATAAGCACAAACAAAGCATTTCTATAATCACAAAGAGTGTAATTACCAAAGATGGGTTCTTATGAATTTTCATTACAAACCGATCGTACTATATACTACTATATAATTTCACCCTTGTCACATGTGATGCCCTTCAAAAAGAGCATCTTCATATACAAAATGCCGAATATCAGGCAATACAATTTTTTAAAAGATAACCTTCAATTTATAAGTTCCAAATAACAGATGTTGTCAGAAAGTATAACTTAAATTTTAGTTATAAGTTACAATGAACTCTTTAAAATAAAATAAATTATGATCCGACCAATTTGATAAAATTTTGTATTGATTGCTACTAATTTATAGCTTTTTGAAATTTGAATGGTAAGAAGAAATTCTATATTTTTGCTCATAGAGAAAATGAGAAAATACGTGTTAGATATTTTAATATTATGCAATATAGTGACTAAAAAGTGAAGCCAACGGACACACACATTAGTCACATTATCTTTGTTTTTGCCTGATCATTTAAGCAATACTAATAATAAATAAAATACTGTAATACTATAATTATTTCTCCTTTAAAGGTCTGATTGATATGTCAGATGAATAACAGAATAGTGGAATAACTGAAAAAATACTAACAGAATGAACTAAACTGAATAATATTTTAGCTGAATAATTGTGAAACGCTGAAAAGTTACTTTTATTAGATTAATCATGTTTTATTTTTTTTAGTTATATTTTTAACACGCTAGCAGAATCACGTTTCAAAAATATAAAAAAACGTAAAAATATGAAAACGTGATAAATAATATAAATGATAAAAAATAACAGAATCAAATTTCCAAAAAGTGAAAAAGTGAAAAAGCTACATACCATTTAAACTCTGAGCTTTTGCTGAATGGGTTTAAGTTAGGCTTTTAAACACAGATAAATTCGTTGCCGCCGCAGCCGCCACCACCATTTCTATCGGATCTCTCTAAACCAGAGCCGCCATGGATTCCGTCCGGCTTCCAACGGCTCCTTCGTCTCTCCGTACCCAAATGTTAGGCCAAACCGTACCCCACCACCTTCACCACATTCCACTACCTCCTTGTAATCGCCACAACCTCCGATCAAAACCGGTAATCGGAATCACTCGATCCCGGAATCACGTGTCTCCGGTGGCTGTTATCTCCCGTGACGAAACGTCTATGACTCACCCCCTTCCTCCGGCTTCTCCCTTGCCACGTCTCAAGGTCTCTCCGAACTCGCTGCAATACCCGGCCGGTTACCTCGGTGCGGTCCCGGAGCGTACGAGCGATCCCGAGAACGGAAGCATCGCGGAGGCTATGGAGTATTTGACGAATATACTGTCCACGAAGGTTTACGACATCGCCATTGAGTCACCATTGCAACTGGCCAAGAAGCTGTCGGAGAGGTTAGGTGTTCGGATGCTTCTCAAAAGAGAAGACTTGCAACCCGTAAGCTTTCTCCTTTCTCTCTCACCAATCATTTCTCTATTCATTTAGGCATTTCTGAAACATTTAAAGATTACACATTTGATGGATTTTGCTGATCCTGTATGAAACTGAGGCTAATGATGGGTCACTTGAACATATATATATATATATATATATATTCAGGTTTTCTCGTTTAAGCTTCGTGGAGCTTACAATATGATGGTGAAACTTCCAGCAGAACAATTGGCGAAAGGGGTTATCTGCTCCTCAGCGGGAAACCATGCTCAAGGAGTTGCTTTATCTGCTAGTAAACTCGGCTGCACCGCCGTTATTGCTATGCCTCGTACAACCCCCAGAATCAAGGTTTTGCATTAGGCTTTCTCATGTCTTTGAATACTTTTTTTTTTTACAATTTGAAAGCTACTATATGGAATTATAATATATAAAAAAATACAGTGGCAAGCTGTGGAGAATTTGGGCGCGACGGTTGTTCTTATTGGGGATTCGTATGATGAAGCACAAGCATATGCTAAGAAACGAGCTGTAGAAGAAGGTCTGACGTTTATACCTCCTTTTGATCACCCTGATATTATTGCCGGACAAGGTACTGTCGGGATGGAGATCACACGTCAAGCTAAAGGTCCAATACATGCTATATTTGTGCCTGTCGGTGGTGGTGGTTTAATAGCTGGTATTGCTGCTTATGTGAAGAGGGTCTCTCCCGAGGTACATGTCTACTCTTTTGGTACTGTGTTTGCTATGGCATTTTCACATTGCTCTCTCTCTCTTTTTGTTACTTTTGACAAAATCCTCCTTCTTTTATCAGAGATTCTACAGCTTTTGTTACTTTATATTGTGATTTCTGTGTTTTTGCAGGTGAAGATCATTGGTGTGGAACCAGCTGATGCAAATGCTATGGCGTTGTCGCTGCATCACGGTGAGAGGGTGATACTAGACCAGGTTGGGGGTTTTGCAGATGGTGTAGCGGTTAGAGAAGTTGGCGAGGAGACTTTTCGTATAAGCAGAAAGCTGATGGATGGTGTTGTCCTTGTCACTCGTGATGCTATTTGTGGATCAATAAAGGTAACGTGTATCCTTTTTATTTTGTTATCGCTTGTAAAAACGGGTTTTTTTTTTAGCGTCTGCACACTGCATCGTAGATATATCATGTACTTTGTCTCTCTACAGGATATGTTTGAGGAGAAACGGAACATATTAGAACCAGCAGGGGCTCTTGCGCTCGCTGGAGCTGAAGCATACTGTAAATATTATGGGCTAAAGGATGTGAATGTTGTAGCCATAACTAGTGGTGCAAACATGGACTTTGACAAGCTAAGGATTGTGACAGAACTCGCCAACGTCGGTAGACAACAGGAGGCTCTTCTTGCTACTCTCATGCCGGAAAAAGCTGGAAGCTTTAAGCAATTCTGCGAACTGGTGTGTGTTTGGTGCTATAGCTTGTAGAAAAGTCAATCCCGTTACAGAGCGCGTCTAAATACAACAAATTTGATGGATGCAGGTTGGACCAATGAACATAACTGAGTTCAAATATAGATGTAGCTCGGAAAAGGAAGCTGTTGTACTATACAGGTAAGTCTGTTCCTGGAAAAAATTTCATTCTTTCCCGAGTGGTTGGTTATTCAACTTCTGAAAACACAATTTTGTGTATTGTTGTTTAGTGTTGGATTGCACACAGCAGGAGAGCTCAAAGCACTACAGAAGAGGATGGAATCTTCTCAACTTAGAACTTCCAATCTCACAACCAGTGACTTAGTGAAAGATCACCTGCGTTACTTGGTTCGGCCTTAAAATCCATTCCTCTCTGTTCTTTTTTTCTTTCCCTGGTTGATATGGGAATCAAACTGTATATCAGATGGGTGGAAGATCAACTGTGGAAGACGAGGTTTTATGCCGATTCACTTTCCCTGAGAGACCCGGTGCTCTGATGAACTTCTTGGACTCTTTCAGTCCACGGTGGAACATTAGCCTTTTCCATTACCGTGCACAGGTTTGTTACCCGATTCACCATTTCACCATACAAAAGGGAAGAAAGAAAGAAGCTTTGATGTGAGTTTGAAGCTCCTTCTTACTATGCAATCTTTCCTTCTTTCAAAACAGGGTCAGACAGGGGCCAATGTGCTGGTCGGAATCCAAGTCCCGAAGCAAGAAATGGAGGAATTTCAAAACCAAGCTCAAGTTCTTGGATACGAGTACTCGTTGGTAACTGAAGACGTCAATTTTAAGCTTCTGATGCACTTGTTTTAATGCTGTGATGGAGAGAACCCACCAAAGAGGTCCGAAACCGAGGAAGTAGAAGAACCCATCAATCTTGTGTTTTCTCTCGGGTCTGTTAAGATGGGCTTTTTTGTTGTCACGGGCATGTCACGCTAGCCCAATATGTAACCTTTTTATTTCCTCGCTATTGTTGTAGACTTTGGATACTGTACCTTTCACTCTTTCAGCAAATAATTTGAGGCTAACCTCCAATAAAACAGTCGTCTAATTTGTAATTTCATTGTATAAAGACAAAAACTGGTTCTAGTGATGCATATTGTTTACTAAACAAAAATTTGATATCCTACAAAATTTTAAAAGACACTAGCTTAACAGAGGTTATTGGGTTAATTTGATATCCTACAATATGCATATTGTGCACTATATTCACCTCAGTCCATTGTTGAGTTAATTATAGTTTTGACTATCGCTACGACTTTTTGGTTATTGGGTTAATGAGTGCTCTCAATCCATTACGGACAAGCTTTATGAGCACTAGAGATGTTTCGTGCTACGCGCGGACTGTTTTTATATAGATATTTGATTATAATTTAAGTTAAATTATTTTTACTTTAAGTTAATATTTTAAATATAATATTTAATTTTTAAAATTGTTTTGATATGATTATACATCAAAAATATTTTAACGTATTCAAAAAATGTATCATGATATAATTTTAAGAATTACTTACTTGATATATGCTAAAATTAACTGTTAAACTCACTGTTATTCACTACTAACTTTTAAAATATTATTAAAATTATTTTTATTTTGACTAAATTTGATTATTATTGTTCCAATTAATTTAGATTTTTATTTTTATTTCAACTGTGTTCGTGTAGTGTTTTTATTTAATTAGCAATCTCAAATACAAACAACACTCAATATTCTAATCTCTTATAAATCTATAAAATAACTATGATTCATATAAATAAAAACAATATTTACATAGTATAAAAAATCACAATCATATTGATAAAATGCAATTTTGATTTGGTCTATGAAGTATACGTAAACTATAAAAAAATATAGATGAATAAGGCAAGTAATACATATACAAATACAATTTTATACTAACTCATTATGTTAAATAAAGTATGTTGAGTTTCTCAAAACTCAAAAGATGTAAAAAATTTTGCTTGTAATTTAACTAAAACATTTTTTCTTAAACTACACATATATATTTTGATGAGCCTTTATAATTAAACTAATAGTATATATTATATTATTTTTAAAGGAGTTTCTTAACCCAGTAAAAAAAACCATATTAGTTTTTCATTCAAGTTGGGTTTATAAGAAATTTTGTTGATGTGGATAATTAGAGATTTTTTTAGACATTTTCTTCTACATAAAAATGTGTATGTTATTTTTTCAAAAATGCATTATTATTTAATTTAAAAATTTACTAATTTGATATATATAAAAATTAACTATCATCTAAAACTTAATTTTTGTTTATAAACTGTTTAACTCATGTGTTGACATGTTTCGCTTGTAGTAACTTGACTACCTTAAGCCAACTAAGACACACATTGAATAAATATCAGTGCATGAAATTCTTCTTTTGTCTATCATTTTCTGCAATGTAAATAGTAACGATGATCGAAATCTTCATATAGATAGATGCTCTGAAAAGCTTCTTATAATTTCTATTGTCTTGTTGGTTGCCTTAAATCTAACGTACTATGATGTTTAATCTGTATGTTTCTAAAAGGTAATATTTTAGATTTTTATAATTTGTAAATATTTTAAATTTTATTTTAGAAATTATTATTTTGTAATCTTGTTTCTATTAACTATTATTTAACTTTTTTAGAGTAATTTGTTGTCTAATATATTCACGATATTACAAAAAGGAGTATATATTAACGCTACAGATTTAAATGATATTTATTTTACTGATTTAGAAAATGATATTTAGTTTTATTTACTTATTCCTAATAACTATATTAACTTAGTGGTTCTATTTATTTATTTTATATGTATTTCAAAAGATATAAAGTGAAATTTTTTATTTTTGTTATATTACAAACAAAAGAAGTATATATTGATGCTATAAATTTAAATGATGTTTATTTTACTGATTCAAAAAATGATATTTTAATTTTATTTACTTTTGTTGGTAACTATATTAATTTTAGTGACAAAAATGAGTATATATTAATGCTACAGATTTAAATGATATTTATTTTACTGATTAAAATGATATATAGTTTTATTTAGTTTTTACTAATAACTATATTAATTTAATGGTTCTATTTATTTATTTTATGTGTATTTCAAAAAATCTAAAGTGAGAATTTTCATTATTGTTAATTTGTTATATTACAAACAAAAGAGTATATCTTGATGCTATAGATTTAAATAATATTTATTTTATTGATTTAAAAAATAATATTTTATTTTTATTTACTCTTGTATTTAACTATATTAATTTTAGTTTTATTTATTTACTTTATGTGTATTTCAAAAAAATCTAAAGTGGGAATTTGTATTATTATTTTTTGCTGATGTGTCATATTTTTAGAGTAGTTTGAAAAACTGAGGTAGATAGTATATATATGTTGTTGCTTGAATCATGATGTTGAAAGGTTCATTACCTCATAATTAAATTTAACGAGGCAATAGTTAGTTACTGTTTGACCGGTCTTCTAATTTAAAAAGTGACGGTAAGAAAAAGAGAAGAGAAGAGAAAGTAATTTGTCATTTGGAATTTTTAAAAAATTGTGAATCAACAACTAAAACCAAAAATCTTCTGAAGATTATGGACAGATGTTGGAATTTGGATTTACTATCAAAAAGGTAAAACGGTGACAAAAAAAGGCAGCTCCAATAGTTTTCCCAAAACCAGCCCCTTGGTTTTTGGCTTGATTTGTAGATATAAATTCTTAAAAACAATACCCAAAAAGGAAATAAAATTAAGTAATAAAACCATGGGCAGTTTTCAGACCAACCCTTTCACGCCCCAAAACCAGCTGCTCAGCTTCTCTGTGTTGTATATTACTCCTCTCTTTCTCTCTCTCATCCTTTGACTCTCATTCAGAAACCGCTTCACAAATTCTCTTCAACACGCTAAGCTAATTCAGAGTAGAACCCTACCAAGATACTATAATTAAAAATTCCTGTATAGATTCCTTTCGATATTTTCAGGTTTTTTCTTTTTCTTTATCTTTATTGGGTAGTAAGCTGAATTTTGGTACGGTATCTGGAAATGAGAATTTTCATGTCGCTTTGATTTTGCCGATTTTCAGTTCTTTTGTCCAATTAGAGTTCGAGTTCGATGGAATCGAATGGGATGTCGAGTGTGATGTTTTCTGGGTTTAGTCCGAGAATGCTGAGCTTGGAACTGCCGCAGAATCCACCGAATCCGGTGAAATTCCAGCATCCGCATCCTTACCCCGCCGCCGGAAACCTACCCACCAGCGATCAGCAGGCGCAACCGCCGTTGAAGCCCTTGTACCCTTACGCCTCTAAAGCCAAACAACTGTCACCGATGAGCGGCGGCGGCGACGATGACGACCGCGGGTCGGGTTCCGGGTCCGGGTGTCACCCAGAGGACAGCGCGGGAACCGACGGGAAGAGGAAAGCCTCTCAGTGGCATAGGATGAAATGGACGGACACAATGGTTCGGCTTCTGATCATGGCCGTCTTCTACATCGGCGACGAAGCTGGGCTAGGCGATCCAATCGACGCCAAGAAAAAGAGCGGCGGAAGCAGCGGAGGAGGAGGGATGTTGCAGAAGAAAGGGAAGTGGAAATCGGTGTCGAGAGCTATGGTGGAGAAAGGCTTCTCTGTGTCGCCGCAACAGTGCGAGGACAAGTTCAACGACTTGAACAAGAGGTACAAGAGGGTCAACGACATCCTCGGGAAAGGCACCGCCTGTAGCGTCGTGGAGAATCAGGGGTTGCTCGACACCATGGATCGTCTGACTCCCAAGTTGAAAGACGAGGTCAAGAAATTGCTCAATTCGAAGCATCTCTTCTTCCGGGAGATGTGCGCTTATCACAACAGCTGCGGCCATCTCGGCGCTCACGAGCAACCGCAGCCGATATCGCAGTCGCAACCGTCGGACTCGCATCAGAATCCGATTCAGCATCGTCCGGAGCAGCAGAGCTGTTTTCACGCGGTGGAGTCAGGGAAGATGGCGAGAATCGCGGAGAGCGAGGAAGAGGTGGAGTCGGATATGGCGGAGGATTCGGAGTCGGAGATGGAGGATACGGAGGAGGAGGAGGAAGAGACGAGGAAGAAGCGGAGGAAAGTGGGAGGAGTGTCGCTGGCGGTGAGGCGGCTGAGGGAGGAGGCAGCGCGTGTATTGGAGGACGCTGGGAAGAGCGCTTGGGAGAAGAAGGAGTGGATGAGGCGAAAGGCTTTGGAGCTTGAGGAGAGGAAGGTTGGGTACGAGTGGGAGGCGGTGGAGATGGAGAAGCAGAGAATGAAGTGGATGAGATATCGGAGCAAGAAGGAGAGAGAAATGGAGAAGGCTAAACTCGAGAACCAGCGAAGGAGGCTTGAGACGGAGAGGATGGTTTTGATTCTCCGGCGAAGGGAGATTGAGTTGACGGAGTTACAGTCTTCGAATAAACGGGTTGACCCGAATTCCGCCACCGGGTGATCTAATTAGTGTTAGGATTTTGGTGTTTTGGGTTCGATTTATAAATTAATAGAACTTTCAAATTTGGAGGATGCTAGGATTCTGACGTTTACGACATAATTAGCAAATTTTTAAAAAAAACTTTAAATTATGTATAAGCAAAATGTACTTGATCGTTGAATGAACAAAAAATAACATGTACAATGATCAAAAACCTAAAAACACGCCCGGTGGGACTCGAACCCACAATCGTTTGATTAGAAGTCAAACGCCTTATCCATTAGGCCACGGGCGCTTTCGTGAACGGGACATCCGAAAATATATAAAATTCAAAATTAACGATAAAATGAGTGAAAATAAAATTGACACACCCGGTGGGACTCGAACCCACAATCGTTTGATTAGAAGTCAAACGCCTTATCCATTAGGCCACGGGTGCTTTTGTTAAACTGGGATAATAAAATTTATACATGTGAAAATATAGAGTTTTTCCCTTTTTAGATATAAAGTAAATAATTTTGGCTATATTTGTGAGAATAATTTATTTTCTGTTAAACATACTTACGTGAAAGTTCAAATATATAATTTTCAAATATATTGAAATTATATAGATGTATAGGTTTTCTAAAATAAAATTGAACATATGCGGACAAAATCATAATGCAACGTAGTTATTAAGAGTCTATATGACTATAACGGACGCGATAGTCGGCACGACGACACATAGATAATGGCTACAACGGTAACGCTTCTCATGTGTCAGTTCCATTCCAAGTTTTCATCTTACCATTGGCATTTGAGTGGCTTACGGTTTGGTTTTGCTTTGGCTATTTTGTTCTCTTACTTATTTATTATTTTATAAAATTGAAACTATATAAAACCGCACGAAATTCAGCTTGGTTCAGCTTCGGATGGTAGATTTTGGTACAAAAAAATTAGAAATATAATGGTTGCTCTCATTTGGTTTTAATTTGATTAGCCAATAAGCAAAAAGTTATAATTTGTATAATAAAATCTTTACAAATAAAAAAATAAATGTTATATATATTTAGTATGAGGAACAGGAAAAAGAAATAGAAAATTTTATACCAAACATATTGAGACTATCATTTTGAAGATTTTTTTTTCCACAAAAGTGATGTTTAGATCAAACTTTGAAATAATCAAATAGTTTTTTGCAAACTGAGTTTCTTTCTAAAAATGTTAACATTGTGGGCTTTAGATTTTAACCAAAACCGGATGAAATCAGTTAATTTAAGTTTGGTTTGATTCGGTTTTTTCAACGAAGCTTTATTATTTTTTATTATTATTCCACCCCTACCATTGCCTAACGGAGCCGTTGTGACGGCCCATCCCCTTTGCGCTAGTTCACGCTTTGACGCTTTCTCTTTCCGTTTCTTCGTCCTCTGCCGCTAATTAACGCCGTCTCTGGTGCTGCCGCCGCCTTTAGGCTCCGTGAACGTAACCTTAACGGCATCTTTAATGGCGTCGTGTGATGACGACTTCTCTCTCCTAGGCGACGATCAATCAAACCCTAATCAACAACATCACCACCACCAGGTTCTTCATCACGCGCCGTATGCTCCTAGGCGATTCAACCCGAAGCCCTCGAACCAGATCCATGTGCCCCATCACCAGAGGAACGGCGACGAGGACGACGAGAACGATGTCGTTGTCGAGGCGTCCTCTGCTTTTCACGGAGTAAATCCCTTCTCGGCGGACGAGAATTCAAATCCGTATGATAATAACGCAGCTGTCGACGGAGACGAGGATCTGGATGCGAACAGATCCAGAATCGGGGGCGTTCGTCTGGAGAAGAGGCAGAATCAGGATGAGCTTAGTGACGGAGGAACAACGAATGGCGGTGAGACCACGCCGTATGGTAGCTTCAAGAGGCCGAGGACATCGTCTTCCTCCGCCGGTGAGTACCGGAAGGACAGGGAGGAATGGAGCGACGCGGCGATCTCGTGTTTGTTAGATGCATACTCGGACAAGTTCACACAGCTCAATCGAGGGAATCTGCGTGGAAGGGATTGGGAAGACGTTGCTTCAACGGTGAGTGAGAGGTGCGAGAAGCTGATTAAGAGTGTAGAACAGTGTAAGAACAAGATCGATAATCTCAAAAAGAGGTATAAGCTAGAAAGGCACAGGATGAGCAGCGGCGGATCATCAGCCAGCCACTGGCCTTGGTTCAAGAAGATGGAAGAGATTGTGGGCAATTCCTTGGCCACAAAAGGTGCGTCTGATGAAGATAGAAGTGGCAGCTCACTGGGAAATGCTGTGAAGCCAGCGAGGAGGTACTGCAGAAACGATCATTTTACACTGTTATAGTGCTCTTGCACTCTCTCTCTCTCTCTTTGCTCTCTTGCGGAATTAAAGTTTTCGGATTTGTATATTCAGGTATCCCCTGGTGACATATAACCCTGGAGTTCAGATAAACAACGTCAAGTCTAAGGCTACATCAAACCCTAGATGGCGAAGGGTGGTTCTGAAAATCAGTGGTGCAGCTCTTGCCTGCACGGGTCCTAATAACATTGATCCGAAGGTTTCTTTTCAGAATTCATAATCTTTTGTTGTTGTATTTTGCACTATCTGGATCAGGCATTAAATTCGCTTCTTGGTTTGTTAGGTCGTCAATCTGATTGCTAGAGAAGTTGCAATGGCTTGTCGTCTTGGTGTAGAGGTAACGAGTCAGCTCCATATTGTTATTGTTTCTCCATTACCCTATTTTTTTCAGTTGAGTGATATTGATAGTTTTTCTTCTTCCAGGTAGCTATAGTTGTTGGGAGTCGGAACTTTTTTTGCGGTGGCACATGGATAACTGCTACTGGTTTGGATAGAACCACTGCATATCATATTAGGTTGTGTTTTCTACTTACATTTGTCAACATTTGAGCAGCTTTTGCCTTTCAGATTGTATTGTGCTTTTTTTTTCTGAAGTTATAATCATGGCTAAGAGATTTTGATCTGCTTTCATGATGTATCCATGCAAGGATCATCATGCTCTGAAACCCACACATTTGTTGTAGTTTCATCGATACAAATGCCCCCACATATCATTATTGCCAAAACATCGATCCACTTAGCAACGGATTTTGATTTGTCTTACTATATCTATCGACATATTATAGATGCGTACAAATCAACCAGTCTCTGTGATGTGTTGTTCCGCTCACTAACTCTCTGTTGTGTTAACAGTATGATGGCGTCTGTGATGAACTCTGTTTTACTTCAATCATCTCTGGAGAAAATGGGAGTTCAGGCAAGATTACAGACTGCAATTGCGGTTCAGGGGGTTGGGGAGCCTTACAATCGTCAACGAGCCACCCGACATCTAGACAAAGGCAGAGTGGTAATATTTGGTGGCATTGGGGCAACGCTTGGGAACCCACTTTTATCATCTGATGCATCTGCAGCCCTTCGAGCTATAGACAGTATAACTCCTTTTTACTCCATCTTAGAGTTCCTTCGTACAATAACTTAAAACTAACCGGTCCGAACTTAAGATCTCTTGTACACATTATCAGTTAATGCAGAGGCAATGGTGAAAGGAACAAACGTGGATGGTGTTTATGACTGCCATTCACAAGATAGTAACGTGACATTTGAACACATAACGTTTCACGATTTGGCTTCTAGAGGTCTGACAACAATGGATACGGTGGCCCTTAACTTCTGTGAAGAGAACAGCATTCCAGGTCGAGATTTTCTTCCTCTCTTTTACAATCACTTTCCATCCTCACATATTCTAGTAAACACTTAGATCAGACTGAGATAAATGGTTAAACCTAGTGATTTGCGCAGTTTGGAGTCCAATGGTAAAAATCTATGTTTTGATTTCACCATTCACTTGATAGTTTAGTCGAGATGATGGGACCTTTATAATAAACGATAACATAATACTTAGCCCATGATGATAGAATCAAACCTTGAATGTAGTGTAATGCGACTGATCCTTCTCCTCTGGGTGAAAAAAAACAGTTGTGGTATTTAACTTTCTGGAAGCTGGGAACATCACAAAGGCGTTATGCGGAGAACAGGTTGGTACTCTGATCGATAGAGCCGGGAGGGGTGTGAGTTAGTGGCTATGTGCCTTTCCTAAAGACTTCTGTAACTTTATTAACTCCCTTTTTTTTTCTCAAGTAATTATATTTCATAGATGAGATGAATTGTCTTGATTCTCTTCTTGGAGTTGCTCTCCATATCCACCAAGCATTTCTTTTCTTCGTTATCTATATTTTATTTGGTAGTGACATCTGAGTTGAGTTAACCTACAGTTGTATATTCTTTCTTCTTAGTACCTACCATTATATGTAAAAGTTTTATGCCTGCCAGATTTCTGTGAGTAATGGCGAACTAAAACCAATTGAAAATCATCGTAAACAAGTTTCTCACAAATAATTTTCTGATTCTATCTTTAAGCAATTGTGTGTCAAACGGAGTAAAAGAAGCACACGAAGGTCCAACTTTGTTCACCGCTTCGAACGGATGGATAACTACGACACATTACGTTAGAGATGAAAAGCAAAAATATTAATTACTTAAATAAAATGAGACTTTTCTGAAATGCACGAGAAGGACAAAGAAGGTGCTGGAATCTTCGTCAGATATTTGTCCCCTCTCTTCTTATCCTCCCCACTCACCTCACTCTCTATATAAACACTATTCTCTGATCCAAACGTAGAGAGACGTAAACGCAACGTGATTCGATTTGTTTGTATTCCAAACGCAGCTTGGCAAAGATGCAGACGGCATCGGTGGACGAAACCAAAAACACGGTGGTTCTACGGGCGGAGCACCGGAACGAGGAAGGTCGGAAATCTGTCGAGAAATTCGAGCTGAAGACCCGGAACCCGGAGACGATCAAGCAGGTGGAACGGAAGCTGATGGAAAAAGGCGTTCAACGGATGGAGAGGCACTCTTCCGATGGGATTCCGCTCAAACAACCGCCGCCGAAATCCGGTCACGGTGGTAAATACACGTGGGAGGGACCCGATCGGATTGAGGATTACGAGATGCAGCCAGATCCGCCTGCGATGGACGAGGGAGATCCGAATTACGATGAGGAACAGACGAAGAAGTTCGGCGGAGATGACGTGGCGGAGGATTTTGTGAAAGGAGAGGTTGAGGTGGCGAAGGAGGCGCCGGCAGGTGTGGCTAGAGTTGAGGTTGATCCTCGCTTGATCAGTCACTAAGTGGGTTTTTCTTTTACTGTTGAGTTTCTGAATTTCTTGGGGACAAGGAAGAAAGTGTTGGGGCGTATGTGAGAAAGAAGATAAACTATGGGGGGCTAGATTTTTAATTTCGAGTATGTGATGTTTGAATGTATTGACGTGGCTTATCCTCTGTAAATAACAATAATTGAACTATTACTTTAAAATAATACCCCCTACTCGGTGATCTATTTTCATTTGTCAACGTATCTCTCTTATCCAAATATCAGAGGACACGTTCCCTCTAGTAAAAATATCCAAATGCCAAATGTCATGACGCAACTGACTCAACTTCTTATTTGTATGAATCTACAATATGTATAGTATATTGAATGTGATCAATCATGCCAAATGTCATGAGGGATTTTTCTGACTTGTTTGTTTATGGATTTGTATATTAATGCTTCTTCACGGGACAAGTCCCCGACAGTAAAGGAAGCTAAAAATTTGGGAACAAAAAATCTGCAGGCTGTGGGGTTCGAACCCACGCGCACTTATGTGCAGAAGAACTTAAGTCTTCCCCCTTAACCTCTCGGGCAAACCTGCACTTGTCGTTTTCCCGTCATTTGTATTTTAATTATCACATTTGTGATATGGCCGTATGGGAAACCTAGGATATCAAGTTACCCTCGGCCCAATGCGAACTGGATTACTAGGTAGTAGGTACATTATATTGGCCCACCTATGATAGAATATAAAGTTTTTTATTTTATCACTATTTAAAAATACGAAGTTTCACTTAATTCAACTTATCACTAGACATTCACATGTGTTCACATATAGTACTTACTTATTTGCAAAAATCTCCGGGATTCACTGAGGAAAAAGAGTAATCACTGATGCAAGCATTGCTGTGTTAGTGTGTTCCATCCCGATTCCAACGACCGTTGCTTCAATATTTTAAATTGGGCCGTAGATATTGATTTAAGCCCAATTGATGAACCACTAGTGCAGGCTTTAACGGGATTAATAAACGGCGTTAAAACTTAAAAGGGTTGTTAACTAAGCATGCACGTAATTTATTGTTACCCGTTTGGTGGTCATGCGTTCCCTCCCACTAGCGCGGACCCACTCAGTGACACTCTTTCGTTTTTAGTAGTGGGGGCAGTATTGAATCTCTCAAATGACCATTATGCCCCCTTCATCATTCACCCCTTTGTAAAAGTTACGAGAGATGAAGATTCTCTCCACGGAGACTCATCAGCAGTGACAGAAAAAGAAGGGGTAAAGTGGTCCACCCGAAAAAACTCATTGGGTTGTTCTCAATATTGATTGATCAATATTAGTTGTGAAATAATTTTTGTTTTCTTAATAAAAAATTGATTGATCAATATTAGTTTTGAAATTAAATTGAACATATACATTTGCTAACGATCAAATTAATTGAAATACATAGATACTATGTTCGGTTAGTTTTATAATTAATATAAATTTAATCATTTTTTAGACTAATCTAAATTTTAATACAAATTAATTATTTAAAAAAAAAAGAGAATAGAAAATATATTTTGTTTCTCGAGTTTCTTTCTCTCGGCACTTTTTGCTTTCTAAAAATTTATTTTAACCTAAAACAATACAAAAACAACATTAAATTCATGTTTAGATTCGATTCAAATTTTATTTTGTATTGCAATTATTATTTTAATAATAAAAACTCATTGATCTACATTAATTATGAAAACAAATTGAACATAAATAATCTTTAACGACTAAATGAATTCAAATGGTTGGATACCTTGTCCGGTTAGTTTCATAGCTAATGTAAAGCTAATCACTTTAAAACTAATCCAAATTATAATGTGAATGAATAAAAGAAAGAATAGAAAACATATCTTATTTTAAAAATTTTCCTTTCTTTGGCATCTATACTTCTTGAATTTCATTTTGTTGAGAAAATTTTAACCTGAAGCAATTCAAAAAACAACAACAGATTCCATGTTTAGAATTAGATTCAAATTTTATTTAATGTTGTAATTATTATTATTATTATTATTATCATTGTTTCCTAATTAAAAAAAACGATTGATCTACGTTAGTTATGATACAAATTGAACATATATAATCTCTAACGACCAAACAAATTTTAATGGTTGGATACTATGTCCGGTTAGTTTTACAACTAATATAAATCTAATCGGTTTTAAACTAATTCAAATTTTAATGTGGATGAATTATAAAAAAACAAAGAGAGAAATAAAAGACTTATCTTTTTTTCTTTCCTCTCTAGTCAAAGATTTCAAGAACATTGGCTTCACTTTTTCCTGAGGTCCTTTAAAATGGATATTCCCATATCCTAAGGAACAAAAACACCAAAAAATGTCCGAATTAGCATGTACAGTTCACATCAATCTCGCTTCACGAGCTAAAAGAAAAGAAATATCTAACCTTTTCAATGTTTTCTCTGATTGAGACATCCCAAAGTTATCAAAATTCTTTGGATGCTCTACAGATTATCGAACAAGTCTGCATTACAACCAAAATAATAGATCATGGATTAGTTCTAAGATACTGAAACAATATGGATTGAAAGCAAAAGATATATAGTAAAAAATTTACCTCATGTTGCTCTCTCTTAACGCTCTCAAGACCTCTAATATCCTCCCAAGAGACATTTGGAATGAAATGAAACAGGTTCTGATTCATAAACAAGCAGAGGAACTACTATTTTCTACCGATACTGCAAATTCAAAGTTTTTCACCAAACTGTTTAATTGTGAAATTATGAAAAAGTAGAAGAAGAAGGGTTCATGTGTTTCATAAGTCTGAGAATCTATACCGCATCTGCGGCTGCCTGTAATGTAACGTGATCTTCCCACTCACCACTCCTATTTCAAATTTGAGTACTAAAAGCTTTAATACAAGACGGGTTCAAGAAATGCGCTTATTAAGTTTCTAGGAAAAGAGAATATTACTGAGACATCTTCTTTAGATAGTCAGAGAAGTCCATAGGAACATATCCTTCATAAGAATCTGGACGAGATGTGAGCTAAACCAAGAGTTTCACGAAATGAGTTCATAATAGTTCGTGAAAGCTTCTAAAAGATTCATCACTCGCGAGTAGCAAAAAGATCATCAAACCTGTTTTACAATTTGTCGTCTAACGTGCTTTTGACGATCTGCGGTTTTGTATAGTTGATCAGCTAAAGCACGGAACTGAAAGGCAAATAGATGGGAAAATAGAATCCAAGGTTCAAAAAAAATGATCACTGAAGTTTAATGGAGATGGAAACGAAGAAGAAGACATTTACCTGGCGATTACCATCTCCTGGAACTGACATCGGCGAAGTCAAACATCTCTAACCTGAACAATTAGAAAATAATGGATTCAAGAATGGTTTTTATATATAACAGAACACATATGTGGAACAATACGAAGTCTTTCATGATCTGAAACTGTTTCTTCTTCAGGAGGTGTTTCTCCATTTATTTTCGCCACATACTGCATATACATATTATGATCGATTCGTAAAAGTGATAGAGCATATTGTCAACAAGTTAGGGACCATTTGATTCAATCTCCTCCCAAATTCACCATCAGCACCACACTGATCTGATTCCCACTAGTACACATACTCATGCTTGAAAACGAGAAGATAATTAGAAACTAAAAAACACATCTTTTGTAATCCGATCCCCAAGACATAAACAGAAACATGGAAAGGAAAAGAGAGAGAATAATCCAATGAAGATTGTATCGGCCAATCAAGAAAAAAAAAACCCAATTTGGTAACAATCGTCTATCAAAGAAACCAGAGATTTTCGATTCCAGCAATATACGTAAAAGAAAACAGAGTAAAAACCAAACCTTGATGAGAATCGTATCGCCACGGAAAATGGTGGCGGGATGGAGAGAGACGACAGAGTTGTCATCGCTAATGGCTTCGTCGACGACAACAAGTCGGTTGGGAGACTTGTTCCTCTTGAGAATAGCAGTTTTGAAATCCTTCTTCGGTTTACTGAAACAAACCAGAGACAATAACTTTAAAACCCTGGGTAAAAAGATCGAAACTTTATGATCGGAAAACGAAAATCAGAGATCTGGGTACTTGCGCCTTGCGAGTCGAAAAATTCAGGTTGGTTTATGATCGGAAAACGAAAATCGGAAATTTAACTACTTGGATTCAGGTTGATTGCTGAAAATTGACCAGAGAAAGTTGCAAAATTTGTTTCGGGATTTACAGCTCTTCTTCTTGTTGGTAAACAGGAAAAGAATCTGTTGCTTTCTTTTTCAGAAAAAGAATCCGTTGCTAATCAATAAATATTGTTTAATTTCACAAAATAACCCAAACGTATATATCTATTTTTTTAAAGCGAAAGCTCATTGGCAGCGAGGGAAGATGCATGTTTCGTATGTTAAAATGCAAAAAATGACATATATTATTATTTTAGTTTCTAATTAAATGCATATGATTAATAATGGTAAAAGTTCTATTTACATAATACATGTATACGATAATAAATGTCAAAAAAAAAACACAATACATGTATATATACATCTTACCTTTCAAACATAGATTTTTCTGTAATTTTTTTTGATGATTATATGAACTTTAAGAAAGAGAGTTACATATCGATCGATGTCCAGAATTGCACTTTGTCCAAGAATCTTATCCCATTTGTCAGATAACTCGAATTTGCGAAGCTACTGTAAAAAAAGAAGCAAAAAGAAACTTACTGATCAATTATCTCATTTTCCACAAGTTTTGTTCTCCATCTCCCATAGTCCCATGAGTAACGGAAAGGAGTTTGTACTAGCAACAACCATGGCAACTCCAGGGCTCGGGTTTCCATCATTCGAGTTTGTAGGTGAACAAACTTCACGATGGCCTTTCTCATTGATCATCTGCTCATCATCGTGAACACAATTCTTGTTAATTCTAGTTTCTTGATCGTTATATACCACCATCATACTCTCTTCGGTTCTCGGAAAACACCCACTGTGGCTTGACCAATTCTCCTTCCTTTTCTTATTCATCTGCTTTCTCTCCATCGTGTTCTTATTTTCTTCATCAGTATTAGTCATCATTTGTTCGCTTCCATTCCCATTCCTCTTTTCAGCGATGGTGGGAGAAGACTTCGGCCTTATCAACGCCTTTCCACTCAAAAACTGCAAAGCCTCAATCACTGCGACATCTCGAGCTTCCATCCTCTCCCTTTCCTTTGCCCTAAACAAGCGTTCCTTATTGATCTTTTCCGCTTCAGACCTTCTCCATTCCTCTTCTTTCACCATCCTTTGATGTTCTTTGTCTTCCATAGTCTTCATCAACTTCTCAAGCCACATATCTTGCTTCTCTATCAACCTTTCCATATGAACGCCAATGAACTCCTTGATCTTTTCCTTCCAATACATTCCCTTTCTTCTAGTATATTCGTTTCCTTCCGAGGAGGAAGTTAGATCCAACTCGGAGGAGGAGTTGAAGTTGTTAGGAAAGCTAATAAGGGTTTGAGTATTGTCGGTATATGATGACTTCTGATGATGATGAGGGACAATAGTGCTATGAATGTTCAGAGCATTGGTCATTACGAACTGCGTGTCGTTATAGTAAGAAACTGAGTCTTTGGATTCGCCATAGATCGCTTCAAGCTGCCGGAAAAATCTATAGTTTTTGCCGTCTTGTCGTCGACCAGCTTTACCTTCTTTAGTCTTCTTATAGTACTTGTAGAGATTCTCAAACTTCTCTCTACATTTCTTGCCACTTCTAGTGTATCCATGCTCCTTCGACATAATCCTAAGAAGATGAGGTAAACCAACAAGAATTGAGAAAAAACAATACTCTTATGAACTCATCTTTAATGAAAGTTTGTATAATGTACCACAATTTTTGAATTATGAAGGCTGCATTAATTATTAGACCAAACTGAAACCGCACCAAAGTAAAAGATACTTAACCGAACATATTATAATCACTTTAACTGAGACCTAACCCAACCGGAAAAGGTATAAAAGTTTGGAATCTTAATAAAATAATTACTTAGAACACGCATTTAATCTGATTTCTATGTAACAAAAACGATAAACCGAAAACCAAAACTAAACTTTAACGCAAAAAAAAGAAAGAAAACCACAAATCCGATCTACAGATGAATAAAACAAAGGACTGAAGAGAGTATACGATTATGACCCACCGAATTAAGACAAAAAAATAGTTTGAAACTCAGTTTAAACTGACAGTTCTACAAGAATATATTTACGTAATAAAAGATATATGCGGTGTGGACATATTTCGATGCACAGGTTGTATAAAAGAAGAGGGAACATATCTCTGAAGTTACGAAAGACAAAACAGAGATTATCAACAGACAAAAAAAAAGCAAGAAGGTCAAACAAAGTTAAACAAGAGAAGTTTTATTTATTTTGGGGAAAATAAAGAAGAGAGTTATTATTTTGGTTCTACTCTTTTTGTTCTTTAAAGCACTGTTGAAAGTCTTAACTGAAACTCCTCATGTCTGGTCATTCCTTCCCTCGACCAAAGCAAAAGTAGTACTAAGAGTAAACTGATGTGTCTATAGTATATACATGCATCAATACGTACGTACGTGTAAGTAAAAGTATATTTGTTTATATGACGTCAAAAATGATTAGAAATAACTTGAAATTTAGGATCAACCAAGAGGTGGCTGTGTGTTGATGTCATACTCTCGTTAATAATACAAAATAGTAAGGAAATTATAAATTTAATGTGAAGGTCTAAGTCCTTAATTTATGAAAACTAACGGAAATTTTTGAAAATGGAAAGAGATCAAGAACATATTATAACAAGAAAACGTATGCGAAAGGTCAGATCTTATCAAATAATAAAAAAAAACATTTAAAAATAATAGAAACTGCCTAGTGTTTAGTAATTTGTGTCAATGGTTCATTAAGATTTTCACATTGAAACAAAAAAAAAGGTTCAATAATTTCCTTAATACTGTTACACGTGAAACTATGAGGAAAAACAAGAGAAATCAACTTCAAATATTTGTGCAATGATTGTTTATGAAACAAAACCATATTGTTCAGAGTATCCAAAACTTTTGTTTATCTCTTAACTTAAATTTCCCAATCTTGAAAAAAAACAAGGCAGATTGAGAAAGAAAAGCAAAAGTTAGGGTGAATAAATGAGACCTAGAAACTTCATCCCAGAGAGGAGCCTTTTGATTGGCTTCTTTGAACTTGTGATCAAGACGAGATCTGACCTCTAACAACATCAACGTCTCTTGCCTCGGCCACCTCCCTGTTCCTCCGCCATCCGTAAAGCCACTAAACCCACAACCACTCGTGCTCGGTACTATAGTGTGACTCTTGTTTCCAGCAGCCATAAGCCCTTGTACGTCACGCGGCAAGAACACCATCTCATGATCGGTGGTATGAAGACGATGGTGCTGGTCCGGCACTGGAGCGAGGTTGAAGCCGAAGAGGTCAGAGGAGAAATGAGGGTAGTATGGAAAGTTTTGATGATGATTCTCCATTTTGTTCGATTCGGTAGAACAGAAAGAGTTCGAAAGTGTACTGATGAGGGCAAATATTGAAAAGGAAAAGTAAAGGTTCAGTCTCTTTTATTTCTAACTAATTTAAGGCTGAAACTATTTTGTTAGGGAGAGAGAGAGAGTGAGAGCGAGCGAGCGAGAGAGGCGGATCATGTCGTCCATGGAAAAGGTTGAATTTAAGCTACAGCGACGATGGTCCCATGACTTTATTAAACTCTTAAACCGTCGTGTATATTGGATGTATCATGAAAAAAAAGAATGTTTATATCACTTATGTATTCTTAGTAGAATTTGAGATCATGTTAACATATTTGCACGCTGATCTTAATGGTGCAGTAGTCAAATGTTACTCATACATGGGTGAACCAAAGATATGACAAAATGTTATTAATCTTTGATTTGACAATAAGGTAAAAACATTTGGCGAATAAATAGTGTTTTTTCCATCACTAGTTGGTCCACCAAACATTGTTTATTTTATTTTAACAATTCCACCTTGACTACTCTTTTTTCACAGTTACCGACTTACGTCATATTATGGGGGAAAAATATTGATACAAAATAGCAGAGATTTGATTTGATCATATATGTCCAACGACCGAAAGAGACTTTCAGCGTCTATTCAATTACATATCAGACCATTGGATTAGTTTCTTGTTTTTCAAGAAAATAAGAGATACACAGAATTACAGAAAGAAGGAAAATATTACCACGTGTTAACGTTACCGTCTCTCCTTCACCCTCGCCAACCCTGAAGCCACAAGAGTCAAGAGATGATAAAAAATAAAATAAAAAATTAATTGGATAAACCGCTAAACCCCATAATATCTATTGAATAAAAAATGATATACAGTCATTTTGGCTAAGACTCGAGCTATGGAACTGGGAGGTTTAGAGAGGGCCAAACCGGTTTATGTCGTGGTATGCATTAGTGTTGATAGCAATGTTCAACGTTTTTACCACAAAAAAGCAATGTTCGATTTGGTGGGGAGATACATTCCAGTGGTTCTGAGTTTGAAGATGGAATCGCGGAAAGTCTCACGATAGCATCACTGGAGCGTTTCTTGTTGATTCCTGCTTTCTATTTCACAGCCAAAAATGGCAATCAAGGATTGATGATTTTCTTGACGTCGTTTTTGGGATTGAGCAATAGATATTTGACTGTTTGTATCCTAACATCAGCACCAATGGGTTACATGGTATTTTCAAATCTCATTCTTTCTTTTTGTTTGACTAAATTTGATATATATATATATATTCTTTAATCTTGGAGATAAGAGTATAAGACTTAAATTGTAAGAATCCATCGCAATTGGACTTTTTTTTCCACTGAATTAGTTAATTTGTTTTTAAATCCGTTACAAATTTTCGTAATCTTAAAACTAAATAAAACAAACATGGGATACAAAAATTGATTATTGGGAGTGAACTTGGAATTTTTTAGGCCACATGATGGAAAAAAGGCTGCAGAAAATTATGATTATTCTTTATTGTTCTTTTTTGATATTTTCTTTGTCTCCCGTTGTAGTATCCACATCATCATTAATCATTAATGTCTCATTGACTAAAATAACGAAATAAACGCATTTTACATTTCTTTGCAGAAATATCAGAACGTGACTAGTAGTATATTAATTTAGAATAAATCAATTCATTTATATGAGTTGAAAAACCTCTCTCTAACCTAAAAACTCTCTCTTTTTCTAAGCCTAAAGCCTCCGCCGCTTTTTCTTGTCACCGGCTCTGGCGGCTTCTACAGTGTCGAAGTCGAATTTTCTTTCATTATTGTTTTGCTTTTCTTTCTTTTTTCGTTTTTTAGTGTTTTCTTTGTCTCTGTTGCGGTGTTCGTTGCAGAGAAGTTTTAGTCTCCAGATCTGGCTGGTTTTGGGTCTTTAGCGAGGGTTGTGGTCCCGGATCTTTATGATCAACAGTGTGGTGTGTTCGCAATCATCACGGGTCTTTCGTTTCTGCCCTAATTCCTTTTTCTAGTTCTGTTATTTACCGGATCTGAGTTTTGCGCCGCCTGCAAGGTTTTTGGTGCTTCTGTGGAGATCGCCTTGGTGTGGTTCTGTTCCGGTTCGATCTTTCCCGTTCTCGCCCTTGGATTTCGGGTTACCCGAATTTTGTTTCTCTCCTTGCCTCTGCCTCCCTTGTATCATCGAGATCTCGTTTGTCATTATCGCTTCTAATTAGGCGTGGTTTCTTCTCGTCGTTTTTATCCGGGTGTCTTCTTCTCTGTCTAGCCGGGTTCTGAAGCTTTGGTAAATGGGTTGAAAGGTAGTTTGTGCGGTTCTTTAAGGAGGAATCTTCTATCGAAGTTCGGCTGTGCTCTTCTTCGGTATATTTACGAAAAAGGCTTTCTTGATAGTCAAAATCTTTGTTTTGGTTGGTGTGAGTTCTTAGTTTCAGTGAGTTCGTAGTATATGTTTTTTTTACTTTGTTTAGTCTGTAGTTTGTTTCCCTCTTTTGAGCTAAGTTTCTCCTTTCTTTGGAGCTTTGTTTTTCAGGAGTTTCTTGTTTAAACTCGCCTGCTTTATGCTGTCTTTGTATTTTGTTAGTTTAATATCAATAAATTTCATCAGTTGAAAAAAAAAAAAAAAAAAAAAAAAAAAATTCTGCGAACAATATTCGTATCAGATAAACGGCTATATTATAATTCGTACGTTTTTTGTCGTCTTTAAGATTTGTGCGTTTTGGGTCTACAAAATATACACACGTGAGCATCGAGTTTAGTCTTTCTGGATATTTTTCTTCCTAATGAAACAGTTTTATATTTACAACAAATCAACGATGTATATAGATCCTTTTTCTCTAACGGTCATTTAGGAATAAATCAATTTCGGGAAAGGACAACATAGATCAGATGCCGTCTTCTTATCGTACCGATCGCACATTTATAGCAATTTAATCTATTTAAGTGCACAATATGCTCCTAATCTTTCTGCTTTTCCAATCAATTTCCCAATATGCACCAAATATTCCGTACGTTTTGTGTTGCATAATTGTAAGAATATTAGTTTTAAATAGGCACAATAAAGAGAAAAAGAATTCAGAGAAAAAGAAAATAAAGTAGTGCTTAGTTACAAACCTGTCTTAATGAGTACTTTTTGAAGTTACTTTCTAAGAAACATTATAAGTTCTCCAAGAAACCCCTAACAAACGATAAAAATAGTAATAGTAGTAGTATAACACACGACGATATATAAATTATAAATTACATTCACCATCACAAAACCTAAACGTAGAGTTAAAACACTCAGAGAATGATCTCTGTTGTCCCCCAAGAAGTTCTTTTTGTTCTGTCCTGGACTCAAAGTCAGTGTATAGAATCTACGTTCTTGCTTAGCTCTTCCAGCTTCTTCATTCTCATCTTTTCGCTTTCTCCCACCAACTGCAAATCATTCGTTTCGTAAACCATCAAGTCAAGAACACAAATCAAAGTGAATAGTATATTACAGATAAAGATCAGAGCGCGACTGATTTGATGAATATGTTCAGTTTTGCTGACAATATCTGTGGAAACAGGCACGAAATGTTCAATAAGATCATACTATTTCGATGTGTAACTCGCACAAAGAGATGACCAAAATCGAGTTTGGATGAACTAATTCCACAAACTAAACAAAAGACTATAAGTCTATAAGCAAACATAGAGAAAACTGAATCCGCAAGATCACTAAGTTGCCTAAAAAAGTTATAACTAGCGGTTTTTTATGCGATTTTATCCACAAATGCAAGGGTTTTGCGGAAATAAACCGACACTGCAGAGCCATAAACCAGAGAGAAAGAGAAGAACAACGAGAACAGTTAAACCAAGGAGTCAAACACGACCTGCGATTACTATATACAACAGAAGAGAGAGTTTTTTAATTCGTTGACTAACCTCCATTAGTTTGGTGATTAGCTGCACCTTCTCCCTGTTCTTTTCGTTGAATGCTTCGAGAGCTTCTTTGTACTCTCGTTCCTGCACGTTGCGTAAAAACACCAGATTTAGCATCTTAATCCTAAACCCATATTTATATCGAATAACGAGTCAATGGATTTGATTATGTTTCTCCCTTACCTTTTTCTGGACTGAATGACCCAATGGCTTTAATTCTTTGTTGACAGAATCAATCTTCTTCCTGACCAAAGCAACTTCTTTCCTCATGGGATCAGCTAAACCTTCAAGTTCCTGAGATAATGCAATTTAACCATTGAGCTTCTTAGTGCAAACAAAATTGTTCTTTTCATAAAAAGGAAAAAGAGCTTTATCCACAGATCTTTAGCAAATGGGTTTTACAATTAGTGCTTTCAAATGTGGAAACTTTCTCTGTTTTGTAACCCGGAAACTGGAAGAAAACTAGAACCCAGATCCAGTAGCACACTATCTAGAAATTTAGAAACTTTCACTTCGCAATGAAAAACCCCAGAACCAGACCAAATCCAGCTTTTTCGTGCTTTTGATCACTTCAACACATAAAGTCCCAGTTTTTTCTTCCCTTACAGAACAAATCACACAACACCCAAAACAAATTCTGTTTTCAGTTCAATGCAATTGTCAGATCTTGAAATTTCCAATACATTGGGTCCTACAATTTCACTCTAAACATAAATTAAAACCACATATTTCACTGTATATAAACCCCCCAATGCTCAATTTTACATCCCAGATTATTTGTCTGTATAAAAATCCAAAATTCAAGCACAATTCTCAAAAATAAAACAAGTTATGATGAGAAGATGAATATATATATATACCTCACGGATCAAAGCGAGACGTTTAGTCTCTTCTTCGACACGACCAAGCTGAGCTTGAACCCTTTCCCTAATCTCCATCTTCTTCTTCTCGATCTCCTCTTCTTTCGCCCTAAAAGCCGACAAAGCCGTCCTCGACATCTCTTCATCTTCCTTAGACATATGGCTGCTGAAACTCATACTTCCCGACAACTGAGCCCCTAACTGTCGGCTATGCACCGCCGGAGCCACCGTCGGCTGCGACGTCTCTATTGCCTGCATCTCCTTCATCTTCAGTACTCTTCACTCCTTCGAAACTAAAATCCGTTCAGCTCGATCTCAGTCTCTCTCTATCTCTCTTTAGCTCGCTTTTTCTCTCTCTCTCTCTCTCTCTCTGGTTCTAGGTTCTTCTGTGGTAGAGAAAATGGATACTGAGCTTTCTTTTTGAACCCAGAAATAGTGCTGTGATATGAACATATATAAAGATAACTAGCCATTAAAAAATCAATGATATTTTATTATAACGGGAACTTTTTAAAAATTAAATAATATTGAAACGTATAATAAAAAGAGATAACAGGCAAAAAAAAGAAGAAGCATTAGGTGAAATTACCTAACTGCCACCAACAACCGATAAAGATGTAGTAGAAAGGATTTTCGATTCGATTTTATTTTCTTTGAGCACACAAAAAAAGGCGAGGAGAATCTGATTTTGTAACCGTTAATCTTCAGACTTTCTATGCTGACCGTTGGATCTTTGATCCGACGAAGGAAGAAAAACGGGTGACCCGTAGAACCCGGAAACAGCTCGTTACAACTCAGTTGTCGTCATCTAAACCGTAAACACCTAACCAAACTAAACCAGTATCTTAATCCTGGTTTTCTATTTGGTCCATACCGTTGAGTTATTCTGTCGTACATCTATCAAATACATAATTGTTAGTAAACATTTAAAAGATACATTACACGATTAGAAAATTTATTTTGGAGATACCGTACCATTATTGTAAATGATATGGTGTTTGCTCTTCGTCAACTTACTTGTATTTTTATGATTAATATTCTTTTTTTTTCTACATATTTTAATTAGCTCTAGATTATAGTGATAACAAATAAAACCAATGCTTTATACATAAAACAGGAAAAAAAAAACAAATGTATCTCTGTAAATAGCTTTTGCAAGTAAATATCACGATAGAATTAACGAAAAGTGTTATTTTGTCAATGTTAAAACAACTCTACTATAATTATAATCAAACAGAACAAAATGGAAAATTAAATAGCATTTTCTACAGGTATTCATGAGAGCCGGTACGGTTGTTCAAATATGTTTTTATTTTGGTAATTAATTTGCTATTTTATTCCGATAAAACCTATATTAATAGAAAAAAAGAGAGGAGAAACGTAAATGTGAAGGCAAAGGTCAGTAGCTAACTCAGCCAACGGCTTCATCTTCGGGCCTTCGAAGCAAGAATCCTTCTTTTAATTTCTCTTTTAACTTCTTTTTCTTCACTCTTTTTCTTTTCCTTAATGGAATTTTACTTTTATTTCAATGTATATTATAAAACTATTCTTCTAAGCTAGCCATCATCTCAACTCGAGATATAATATCCACACTGTTTTAATGGTAGGGTTTTCAAACTTGTCCTCATTAGGAAAATTGAAATTTTGTTTGTCCCACAAAATAATAATAAAATACATTAATTAGTAGATGTTTGATTATTAAGAATTAATGTATAAACTTTTGCAAGGTTTTGTTGTCTTATCGATAGTTCGGAAGATAGCTTACCTACTAATTGACGTAAAACCCATACGTATATACTATTTCACAGAGTGTTTAAAGTCTTATAGTATAATCTAATAATCCAACGTACGTTCTTAGTATTTCACAGAATGTAAACAAGAAACAAAAACAAAACGTAGAAAAGATGTACGGTGAGGATTGAGGCGATCAAAAACATAGAAAGAGGCTGATCCTTTAGCGACGTGTGCTTCTCTGCCATCAAAGGACCCACACGAAACCGGTGTTTTTTGTTAGCGCATGGCATCAGATTATCATTTGGCACCCATACTTTTTCTTTTCTTTTATATATTGCTTAATACTTTTTTTATAATTTTATGGATCCCAACTTGTCCTTGTTTTGTAGTTTAATAAAAAAACTATACATATGTAACATTCTGAATATCCCACAACGTATTAAACATTGCAAATACCGACCAGCTTTTGATGTGCATGTGTTAAAATTCAGCCAAACAAAACTTAAATCGAATAGTATAGTTAGTTACATTTTGTGCTGAAAGCGCATCAAATAAATCTTACATGATCCACCATTCAATCTTATATAGAAATTTTGTGTAAAATTTATTGGTTAATGGTTATCATAATACTCCTAAGTGCGATGATTATGAGTTTGATTGTGCCCGAGGATATCGACTTTATACCTAATTGCCAGCATCAGCACTAATTAGAATTTAATGGTGTTATGAAAATGATTTGCTGTCTATGAACGACCTCGTATTTTCAATTATTCTCATTTACAATCAACGATGTGTGTCTCCCTGTCCATGCCAGATGATTTTATTACGAAATATTCTAGTTAATTGTAATTATTACGGGATCTTTCATTAATGAAAACGTTTGCAGTTGTCATGCGGCTCTTATTTGAAACTTTATTATAACATATATATGCCCTAAAAAACATTATGTGGATTTTATACCAACATAATGTTATAATTAATTAATTATTACCATCATTGTAATTAACGAAGAAAGAAAAACACAGCAATGTGAGATGTTTCATATGGGACGAAGAAGGAAGAGGGGGAAGTACGGTATCTTTGTGTTTTGGCAGCTACGCTAATCCTACTGACAGCCCCAAAGATTCTGGTCCCTACGAAACCATTTTTGCCCTTTTATTTTACGTATATTTTGTTTTCCTTCAAACATTCTATTCACAAGTCATAGATACTAATTTATATAAATGTAATGGTACTAAAAAAACAGACTTGGGCATCTAATACAATATGTGGAGTTATATATAGTTAAATTCTTTTTGAAGTTTGACTATAAATTCGGTTTCTATAGGATTCGAATTTCCAAATTTATTTGACTTTCTTCTTCTTCTTCTAAAAAGTAGCGACCCAGCTAAGAATCTGAACGTAACTTTCTGTAATGTAAAACTATACTTTGTTTCTGCTAAATTACGAATGTGGAGATAAATGTATAAAATAATCAAAGGAGTCTACTCTCTAGTCTAAATGCTGTCTGAAACTTCTCTGGTTTTGTACCAAAAGAATCTAGACATATTGTCGTAGCTCGTAATTAAGTAAATCTTGTGGCAAAATTGTTTTATAAATATTTAAATTATTTATATGCACACACACACATACACACACAAAACACATTCCTTCAGCTGAACAACTAGATTCTGTGTCAACAACCATATTTTAACTGAATTATATGTACACCACACCAAAATAGTCTAATTCGCACGTAACAATAATAACAAAAATTTCTATAATTCCTAATTTTTAGAAAATGAATTCCTAATTTTGTCAAGTTGGATGTTGCCAGTTTGTTTTTGTAATTTTTCGTCAAGTTGGATTTTCTTGCTTTCTTATATAAAAGTACAAATGAACAAAGAAAAAAAAAAGTAATAGTTAATCCATTTTTATTTTTGACATACTTCTTCCATTACTGACTGATTTTGTAAGTAAGGAAAAAAAAAATAGTCGAATTTTGTTATACGTTTAGACTTGAGAGTTAAAAAAAATCGATTCACGTGAACCAACCGAAGTAAACAGCTGTCGTTATTATACCGAAAAATAAGTAAGCATGTGTTTGCACATTTCTGACAACTCCTTTTCTTATCTGTCTGTCTTTTTTTCCTTTCACTGGGTCCATTTCTCCTTTCCTGATTAATGGATCCCAGGGTAAAGACGGAAACATAACCCTGATTAAAAAGGTAAACTCGTAATCTTAAACATTTTTTTAGATGTCAAAGCGCAACAAAGAAGTTTACGATCCATAAAAATAATACTTAAGTCTTTTTTTGTATAGCTGGGCTTACAAAATTGCGAGTCCTACAGTAGAAACAAAATTTAAAAAGTTGGGCTTTCAAATGTGCTAAGGCCCATAAAATTCTTCAATCCCTGACACTCAGACCATTTTTGTTTGTAATTAAAAATGTAAGGGTAACTTTTGCTATAATTTGTGTTTGAAATGAAATTTTACTTTGATGAAAAGAAACTTAACTACAAACATGATCGGTGTCGCGGATAATCTTCTGAGAAGGAAGAACAATTGCAGCGACTGGTTTTTCCGGGTATCCACCACCTTCATCGATGATCAATCTCAGGCCATCTATGTGAAGTTTCCCATGGTGCCCGCTTACTACAAGAGTCTGTTTATCATCCAGCTCCTGAAAAAGTGTTTCAGAGAAAACATAAGAAACTGGAGCAAAATCTTAAACACAAAGTTTGGTTTCTTTAGTATGTTTTTCTTACCTGTGGTATGTCCCAAACGTTCTTCCTGCCGCTCAGATATGGGACTTTAGAGATGCTTGTGTCTTTGGCTCTCAAAAGCTTAAGTTGTTCGTCTACGCTATTCCCTTTCTCCAAACCAGCATGTACCGCAATCAACTTACAATGCTTTAGCCCTTCTTCGGTTTCTATACAAACATCGTCCTGCAAAGGAATCGACCAAGTGTACACATGTTAGCTTTTTACTACACACTTGTCCTCCAAATTAAGCTTATTAAGCTTAGCGTGGCTGTAACTTTCTAACGGGGTTGCAAGAGATTGAATCTAAAAGTCTAAAGATCGAGTTTTTATGGTTTTAATAACCAGTCAACTACTGTTCCTTCAAGCAATTTACAGGATAAAATGGTCGGAAAGAGATCCCTTACCTCTTCATGGACCCATACCATATTGCTCAAGAACTTTTTATGACTCTCCGGTACTGCCTTCATCAAATCTATCAAGCAAAAGAAAACAAACAAGTTTCAAAACCAAATACCAAAAGCTCCCAAAATTTTTTCACACCATCAGAAAGATGAGCATCATGAAAACACCAATTCGAGAAAGATTCAATTTTCGCTTAACCAAATTGAAATGTGAACAGATCCACTCATTGCTTGAACACCAGATTCACAACATCAATTCAGTTCCCACCAAAATTCAACGACGAAGCATAGACTATAACCAGCGAGAAGATCCTAGAACACACAAAGATTGAGAATTTTGTTACCAGAAGATCCATGAGGAACGCCATAGGATTCAAAAGTCGACCCAGCGTCGTAAATCGATCCTTTATACGCCATCCCTTTCACGGAATTGAACTGAGCTTTGATTTTACCGGCCCATCTCCTACCTTGGAGATGCATGTCCTCGAACCCTTCACCTCTATACCATCCTTCTCTCTCCTCGCTGTCCTTGAACTCATTCCACGTATCTTTCAAATCGGACCCATCTGAAGGAGAGGGCAACAAACCCAGAAACCCGGCGAAGGCGAAGTCGTGGTTTCCGGCGAGAAAGACGTGGGTCTGGTCGGGGTGTTTCTCCGGCAGAGAGATTAAGAAATCGATGACTTTTCGGGTCTCCGGCCCACGATCGCAGTAGTCTCCGAGGAAGATGACGAGAGCTGAGCTGAAATCTGATGGGTTTACGGCGGATTGTAGATTAGACCAGAGGTTATCGAGCTTCGATATGTATCCATGGATGTCTCCGACGCAAATCACCGTTCGTGGTTCTTGCGCCATTTAAGAGATAGTGTACTTGTGGGCCTCGTGGCTAGAGATGATTTAATAGAAAAAAAAGCTCTTTTTTTGAAAAAGAATAATTTATTTTATTTTTCAAATGCTATGTCTTGTGGCTATTAGATAGTTTTCTAAAGTTTTGTGTCATTTTCAATTAGTGTGTCTATTTCTATATATGAAGAGCCTTCAAAGATACTGTACATGAAAGGACTATGAAAGATTTAAAAGGAGAAAGAGCCATTATTGGTATTTTGGATGATACAAGAGAAAACAACAATTGGAATTTGGGAGAGCTTTACGGAATTTTTAAGAAGTGAGAAGGAAAGACAGGAAAAAAAAAACTTAATTGGAAAAAACATCAGTGTCGCGGATAATCTTCTTAGAAGGAAGAATAATTGCAGCCAAAGGTATATCCGGATATCCACCGCTTTCATCGACGATCAATCTCAAGCCGTCGATGTGAAGTTTCCCATGGTGACCGCTTACTATAACAGTTTGTTTATCATCCAGTTCCTGAAAATAAAAAAAAATGTTTCAGTGATTTTCAAAACTCAACAAGACCATGACAAAAAAAAGAAAGAAAGATTGATTCTTTAATGATGTTTTGCGTTTACCTGTGGGATGTCCCAGACGTTTCTCCTACCACTTAAAGGTTGTATTTTAGGGATGCTCGTGTCTCTAGCTCTCAAAAGCTCGAGTTGTTCGTTAACGCTCGTCCTTCTCTCCAAACCAGCATGTACCGCAATCAACTTACATTGCTTAAGCCCTTCCTCGGTTTCTACACAAACATCTTCCTGCAAGAGAATCAACAAAATTGACACACACACACACATGGTATCTAATTACTACCGAGTACCGACTAAAACGGACATCCTTCGTCCGAATTAGCAAGGCTACAATTTCCTAATGCTTTGTAAGAGATTGATCAACGAGTCCCAACGTTCAAGTAGATAACTACAGTCCGAAGTAGTCCTTACCTCTTCATGGACCCATACCATTTCCTCAAAGAACTTCTTGTGGCTCTTTGGTACAGCCTTTATCAAATCTATATACCAAAGAATATAAACAAGAACAAGTTTTAAAACCAATACCAAAAGATCCAACACATTTCTAACATGTAAATAAGTTCATCAGCAGAATTAGATGAGAACTTTGGAAACTCCAAATCATAAAATATTCAATTTTTACTCTGTAACGAAATGTGAACAAGACCCAATCTTTGACCGCCCACGAAAATTCACTATAAATCACTTTGAGAATTCAGAGATGGAGAATTGTACCAGGAGATCCATGAGGGACGCCATAGGATTCAAAAGTGGACCCAGCATCGTAAATCGATCCATTATACACAACCCCAATCGCGGAATCGAACTGAACCCTAATTGTACCAGCCCATCTCCTACCTTGGACATGCATATCCTCAAAGCCTTCACCATTATACCATCCTTCTCTCTCCTCGTTTCTCTCGAACTCATCCCACGTATCCTTGAATTCGGACCCATCTAAAGGAGGTGGCAACAAACCCAGAAACCCAGCGAAGGCGAAGTCGTGGTTTCCGGCGAGAAAAACGTGGGTCTGGTCGGGATGTTCCTCCGGCAGCTTGATCAAGAGGTCGATGACTTGTTGGGTCTCCGGTCCACGATCGCAGTAGTCGCCGAGGAAGATGACGAGAGCTGAGCTGAAATCTGATGGGCTTAGGGCGGATTGTAGATTAGACCAGAGCTTGTTGAGCTTCGAAATGTGTCCATGGATGTCTCCGATGCAGATCACCGTTCGTGGTTTTTGCGCCATTTAGTACTCTCGATCGTTTTCTTGAAATGCAATGACTATTTGACTTTTAAAGCACGCAACTGCATATTGATACATATGTTGAGGATAAATACGCGTCGAAAAAGAATAGTATTAAATTATAGTATTTTTAAGTATTAATAAATATTGCAAAGTCCGCGCGTCGGGTGGTATGGTATCCCATTAAAAAAACCGATTAACAAAATAATACAAGCAATAATTGAGTATTTACTAGGCATATTATGTACTCCATATTTTATAGTAGTCTTCATTACGTGATGTTTTTTTTTGTTCAACATGTGATGGTAACATGCATTCTCTAATAAACAGAAAAAATAAAGACTTATTTGGGAATAATTTTGTCAGTTATATATTTTTTAAAATCAAGTTTGTTTATCGTTTTATTATATAAACAAAGAGAATAAATTGGTGGCCTTGGTAGATGACGACATTGTACCACAAACTCTATGTCATTAGTCAACTTAGCGGCATAAACAAAAGGGTAAGACATCTAGCCGTCAAAACTCAGCCACGTGAGGCACTTCGAATCGTACGGTGAACAATCCTTTGACATACCTTTTTCCCATAAACAAGAGGGCAAGTAAGTCAACCGCCGGTCAGCCCGCTAACACGTAAAATACATGCGGGTTGGGCTTGGGCCTTTAGATTTTGGACAGCAGCCCGCATGAACTAACTCGCTAGACCCGAGAAAAATCTAAAACCGTAATGGGTTGGGCTATTTGGGTTCGTGCCAGCCCGACTAACATTACTAGATCTATTCAAGGATCAAAGGCAACAAAAAGGGTAAATAGTCAGAGGAAACTGATTTCACTTTGAATCGCATAAATGGCGAAAGAGAAGAAGAGCTTAATAATCATGCTTTATACTTAATCCAGAGAAGTGAAATTGGCCAAATTAATCACAGAGAAATAAAATTATGCTTAAACATTAATCGAGTGGTACTGTGATAGTATAAATATTAATGTGAAGTATTAATGGAACCACAATCACAGATGCGTGCATTATTAAGAATTGGACTACGTTACATGAGGAAGTAAATTAAAAACAACTAATTCTAAGCGATCTATGCATATACACCAAAGCGCTCTTTCGATATAGCCAATGGTCACCAATTTGTTGTTTTGTTTCAAGAACATGCAATACAGATCGACCATTTTTTTATATAATTTTCATTTATTATCGGATTTCAATACATCTCTGTAAACGTTAAAGGCGTGAAAAATATTATATGACAGTTTGTATTATTCTATTCAATATACCAACAACTTATTTGCCTTATTTTATTTTATTATATTGGTAGCCTTAACTTTTGTAAAAAGACCTTTAATAATGAAATCATTTACTAAAAAACTCGCCTCGTGGAAGATGCTAAACAAGTTCATAATTTAAGGGAATATATATAGCACTACTTTTAGTAATACAGAAAATATATGATATTTAATTCTAGATCATTTAGACATATAGAACTGAAATAAAATTGAGATCAAATTATTCATGTTAATAATATAAAGATATTTATATATATGTATATATAATATGATATGACTTAGAGTAGAAAGTGAGGTTTTTATGAAAAGAGAGAATAATATATTTAATCTTCTTATAAACCTCTATGCTATTTTACAAAATTATAAGATAAATTAAAATAAAATGCATTATCCATTAATTTGTTGTAAAATGAGAATCTATTGACATGGTGTAGTTGAATTGTTTATTGGGCAAACACTATCAACGGTTGGAAATGGTCAACTTTTCATGATTTCTCCACTGAGCGGAAAATCTAACGGTCCAAATTGGAAACTTTACTCGTGCTTCATCGTCTCCTCCATATAAACCTCTGCTCAATCACTCTCTCCACGGAAGAGACAAAACTGAGTAAGAAGTTTTCATTAATGGCGGAAGAGAAGAGCTTTAAGTACGTTATCGTTGGAGCTGGTGTCTCTGCCGTAAGTCTTTCCTCTTCTTCTCAATCTTTAACTTTTCTTGTTCGATCATTTCAAATTTTTCTTTCTGTTTGTGTTTTCTCTCTTCACTTACAAATCATTGTTTTCATTCGCGTCCTGAAATTTATGCTTGCTTAGCGACCACGTTTGGAAGTTCATTTTAGGGTTTATGTTGTTTCTTTAAAATCACATTGAATATATTAATAACTATTGGAAACACACAGAGTTACGCGGCTAAAGAGTTTGTCAACCAGGGCCTGAAGCATGGTGAACTAGCAATCATTTCCCATGAACCAGTATGTTTTTCTTCCTTTTCTGTGTGTGTTAATTATGGATTCAAATGCCAAACGCAAAGATTTAAGACTAAAGAGATTTGGAGTTTACATTCTCCAAACACATCTATGAAAAATTGAAAAGTTCACTTTAGGGTTTGTGACCTAAGACATTTTTTGTGTGTGTGTGTTGGCAGCGTACAGACCTAACCAAGGCATATGTTGATTTTCAGAGTAAACCTTTCACCCTTTAGAACATCTCTTTCAATATATAGTTTTTTTAATTCCTCTCGGGTACTTAACTTCAAGCTCGCTTTTTAAGAGCATTGTTCTAAACTCTCATGTTATGCAGCCAATACGAATCTTGCAAAGAACTATGTATGCGGAACTGGGGAACAGATACAATGCCTTCAATGGTACAAAGACAAAGGTTATGTCCTGCTTTTGAAATATGATAACACAATAGTGGTTCTGAGCTGTTTTCACACCTCACAATGTTTCCAATTTCTCCTTAATTTATAGGTATTGAATTGATTTTAAGCACAAAAATCGTCAAAGCAGATCTTGCAGGGAAGAGTCTTGTCACTAGTGATGGAGAAATCTTCAAATTCCAAACTTTGTTAGTTGCAACTGGCTCCACCGTGAGCACCATCCCTTCCTCAGCTAATCTTCTTGCTGTCTAAAATTATTCTGGAAACTCATATCAAGAACCCCTTAAAATTTTGCAGTGTGTAAGATTGTCAGAATTTGGTGTCCAAGATGCAAATGCTAAGAATATATTCTACCTAAGAGATAACAAGGATGTTGATCAGCTCGCATTAACAATGGAAACAACGAAGAAGAGAACGGTGGTAGTTATCGGCGGCGGATACATAGGGTTTGAAATTAGTGCTTCACTAACGGTTAACAACTACAATGTCACCATGATTTTTCCAGAGCCTTGGATTAGTAAGTATAAGCTTGACGCACATTTGTTTCTGTTAGCCATTACAGAGAACTAACTCCTCTGTTTTCCCATGTTTTCCTCTGTTTTGTTGTCGTAGTGCATCGGCTTTTCACTGCAGAGATCGCTACGTTCTACGAGGGTTACTACGCGGACAAGGGAATCAAAATCATCAAGAGTACAAAAGCCACTGGATACAATACCAACTCAAACGGAGAGGTCACGGAGGTGAAACTAGATGATGGAAGAATCTTAGAAGCTGAGATCGTGATCGTGGATATCGGTGGTAGACCGATGACATCCCTCTTCAAAGGTCAGCTGGAAGAGGAGAAGGGTGGAATAAAGGTTTGTGATTTTTTATGCAGCTATTATTCTCAAGATTGCTCTCTCTTGGGATGACCATTAAACACACAGTGATATTCATTTTTTGATATTGTAGACTGATGGGTTCTTCAAAACAAGCATCTCGGATGTATACGCCATTGGAGATGTAGCTACATTCCCTATGAAACTCTATGGCGAGATGAGACGCGTAGAACACGCTACCCATGCTTGCAAATCAGCTGAACATGCCGTCAAGGTACGAAACATTTGATGTTATGATTGAGCCCTAGATTAATGCTTTAAACACCCATTTGTTTATCTCTTTTTATCACCTTTAAACATCATTTGATATGATCATGTACAATAGAAATGATTATTTGTATTCTCTCTGGTTTATTCTTTAGGCAATCAAGGCGGCCGAGGAAGGGAAATCAATCCAAGAGTATGATTATCTTCCCTTCTTCTACTGTCGAGCCTTTGATCTCTCGTGGCAATTCTACGGAGACAACGTAGGAGAAACCGTGCTGTTCGGAGACAACGATCCGAAATCTGAAAAGCCAAAGTTTGGGACTTATTGGGTTAAAAGCGGGAAAGTGGTGGGTGCATTTCTAGAAGGAGGAGTTGTGGAAGAGAACAAGGCCATTGCTAGGGTCGCACGTACACAGCCTTCAGTTGGTAGCCTTGAGGTCTTGTCCAACGTTGGGGAGTTGCTTATTGGATCAAGGGTCAATAGAAACAGGGTCTTAGTTTCCTGCCTGGTTTAATAGATCTTACACAAGAGTATTATTCTCAACATCTCTCAAAGATTAATATTCTTGTTTGACCAAAAATGTCCAGGATGTGTAGGATCATCTACCTCGATGAAAAAGTGGTCTTAAGAATAAAGATCTCAAAAACCTAAGTTTTTAAAACGTGTTTTATTGATTTTTTTCTGTTTTCATACGGTGACGTATATAATAACAGCCAATTTGTTTTTCTGTTTTCATACGGTGACGTATATAACAAGGTATAAATGATTGAAACGGTGACGTATAATACAGCCAGTAAATTGTTTGCAAGGTACAAATTCATAGCTTTCGTATAAGAAAAAAGGGTATAAATTCATAATTACGTATGCCTCACTATTTATTATTAACCACGCACGCAATTCCATTCATAATCTGTAAATATGCTCTTTTTACGGGACTCTTCACCAAACGCTACTTGCTTATTACTCGTAATTTACATATTCCTTATAGTATAGTAGATCTCATATGCTCTTAATTTAAATATTATCATCTTATTCAGTATTGTTTTCAATCATTAATCTCTTCAATCATTGAAACCCAGATCATATTGACACCCTTCCTTCCTTAATCAAACTAGTGAGAGGTGGCATATATAATTACAGTAAAAATCAAAAATAGTACCCATCCATGTAATGTGTCCTTTCTTTCTCTTCACGTAAGCTCGCATCTCTCTCTCTATATATATATATATATAAACACACAAGCAACACAAAATCATTCATACGCAAAAGAAAGAAAGAGAGAGATGAGCAAGGTGAGATGGCTTCTAAACTTTCTAAGCCATGCCAAGAAGCAAGAAAGCGTGGAGAACCTTGACAGAAACGGTATCGTAAAGGCCTCAAGCAGTGGGTTCAAGATGCCGCTGCATTACCCAAAATACACAAAGGATGATTACGAGAAGATGGAAGAGTGGAGATTGGATTTGCTTCTCTCAGAATATGGGCTCCTTGCCTTCCATGACGCTACTCTCCATGAGAAGCGAGCTTCTGCGATGGAAACTTTTCTATGGCCTCATCCGTAATAACGTATCGGAGAAGATGAATTCGAAACCGGGGGGATATGATCAATCTACCGAAAAATATCATGACAAGATTTTGGTATCTGTAGTGATACTGTCTCATATTCTTTGATTTCCCGTACGTAGATCTATTTATGTTTGATATATAAGTTTGGCTAGCTTTGTATGAATCTTCAATAAAATGTAATTCTACCGCTTGCCATGGTATCAAAACCTTCATCTTCTTCGGTAGTTTTCCGATCCGTGAATGAGATTGAGTTTATTTCTATTTCTTAAGCCCGCGCGCCAACTCTAGAAATACACCAAATCATGTGTGTACACATGAAAAGTAATTATAATATATGTTTATAAAACAAATAAAAGTATAAAACTGTAAATTAAGTATTTGGCACACTGAAAACATTGTTAAGTGAACAAAATGGTTGATTTTACGTACGACCAACCAAGTAGCGTACACATTCTTATGACGGATATTTCTTAATTTTGTGATTAATAAAATATGTATGGTGTTTGTCGTAGCAAACAATGCCAACGTGCTATGTCTTTGCATGGTATTTCGTACTGTATTACCACCACCAATAATAATGACAGTTATTAAATTTGTATGAATTAAGGAACGTTAAGGCTATGAATAATTCAATAGTCATCTTCTTCGTTCCAATATGATATAGATTATTCAATATGCGTTGCATTGAAGTCTTGAACAAATCGAGTCATATTAGGCAAATACAGACAAAACCTTGATTCGAGCCTCATCTTTTCTACATTACATAAACATCAAATTAATCAGTTTCCAATAAAGTTACCAGAAATAAACTGAGAAAGAGGGTTTTTTTCCATTAATGGCTGAAGAAAAGAGCTACAAGTACATTATCGTTGGAGGTGGTGTTGCCGGCGTACGTATCTGCTCTTCTCAGTTTTCAACGTTTTTTTAGTCTCACAACAGGCATTTTACGGAATTTGAACGCTTTATTAGTAACCCATTACCAATACTAAAACAAGCTATTAGTATATTATTATGGACCAGCTGCTCGAACGTGTTGAGACTTGAACCAGTGAGCTCGACTTGAAACTCTCTGTGAAACAGACACAAGCAGAGACAAATGTTACAAACACAACTGAGCGAAGAGTTAAAAAAAGAATAATAAGACGAACATTAAAAGTCTCACTCTTAAAACAAAACGACATTGAGATTTTCGCGTAAGACCGAGTAAACGGATCTCCATCCTTCTTCGGACGGATGAAAGACGTCCCAAAAGAAGAAAGTCTTTGGATCTTCACAAATTGTATACTTCTTCTCGCCCTTCTTGTCCACGCTTGAGCACGCGTAATTGCTTGTAACCCCGACACAACACGGTTTCAAAGGGTTCGCAAACCTCGTAACCCCTGAGCGATTCACAAACCTCGTAAGAAATGGATCACATATTTTAGAATCCAGAAATTTCAAATTTTTCTTTTTGAACTTACCAAGTTCCGGTCTTTTGTTCTTGAGGACAGTCAAGAAGGCATCGTAGAGATCAAGAATGACGAAAGTGGATGGCTCGGTCTCATTGTTGAGCTTGGCCACGGCTTGATGCAGCAAAGTGTTGTGGAGATTCACGAATGCGTTATCTGATGCGTTGCAATGTTTGAATGAAGTAAAGGCGGTGTTGCTAGGGAGACATCCGAGTGGCTGCAGTGAAGCCATTGCTACCTTCTTCACTCCCAACTTGTGGATGCGTCTCAAGTTTACCTCAGTTTGATCAACAACTTGCTTGATGAATCCCGGGAACTCCTGCAAGATATATACAATTTGCGCTTATGTTTTTTTTTCTTAAAAAAACATTAACATGCATTTATGTTAGTTTTGATTAGTAAATACAACGCTAAGTGTTTTTATTTAAAACAAGAGAACGATGTTTTCTTACGGTCATGGGGCGTTTTTGGAGCATGAAAGTGCCGTAGTCGTTGCCGGCGACGCTGACGAGAGCAAGGGAGGAGGAGAGGTGGGAGGGAGAGTAGATGTTTCCGGCGTCGAGGACGTTTTGGAAATAATCAATCTGAGTTGTCATGTTTGGCAATGGATTATTTAGAGTCTTGAACACTCCTGTCCCTCCGTACGCGTAATTCATTCCGTACAACAGCCGTTCCTTTCCCGCGTAATTCCTCCACGTGTAGGGCATCGGTGACTTTATCCCCAAGTATCTTGCTGCACACAAACGATTGGTGTAACAATTTGGGAAAAACTTTAAAATTGATCAAATTGGTTAAGCAGGAGGATTCTACCACCGTATTTGTAAGTCATTAAACCATTCACGGTCGCATTTGATCTCCGGCGAGGCTTGTTTTTTAATTAGAGCAACTTCTTGATTTCTTTTCCAATTTTTTAAAATTTAATGTGATTCAAAGGTGAATCTCAATGAATCCATCAAAAAATGATGTTATTGCAATTGTTTTGGTTGTAACATTCGTATGATGACGTCATGCTAAGTTAATGTTTTTGAATGATGACGTTATGTTCAAATGACTTGGGAAAAACAAATTTGTCAAACTTAAATCATATCATGCTTTATAAATTTTGTCTTTACTTTATTTGTTTACTACTAAAATATTTTTTTTTGTACAAATCATTTTTTTCTAAAACACATTATTTTTATACTTTCTAAATTTTATAATACTATAACCAAAAATTTTTAAAAATAAAATCTACAGCTATAACAAAAAAATTTACAATCATATTTGTACAGCAAAAACGTGAAGTTACAGATGTTATCAATCAAGCTATAGCTTTTACCAATCAAACCAAAACTTCCACATCTTTCCACATCAGCATTTTGATAACTGGTTATGCTCATAACTTTTCCTTTTTTAGATAATTAGATAGTTGATCTACGTAAACCTACCGTGGACAGAGCTCATAAGGTAGTGTTGAAAGTGGGAGATAGAGAGAGAGAACCTAATAATTATGACAAAGAAAATGAGAGAAAGAGAGAGAACCTAGAAAATCCGTGGCGACGCGGCCGTCGGAGAAACGACCTGAGGGATGTCCGGGAAAACTGACGCCGTAAGGAACTTTCCAGGAATCGGAGAGAGACTTCCTTATGTTTCCGGTGTCTACATATGAATCTCCGAACACGAACAACCTATTCGGTTTCAAACGCTTCAAGTCACTATGCTGAAGATGATCAGATTCAGCACCTTCAAAACATTATCAACAGAGTAATTAGTGGGTTTCACGGAATCTATTTATGTGATCAAGAGCTTTACATATGAATTTTAAGTATATAAATATATAATTACCTAAGAAGAAAGATAAGAAAGAGAAGAGAAAGAGAGAGATGAATAGCTTTAACGACTCCATTGTTTTCTTGTGTATTTAGGGTACCAGATTCAGACCAAAAGGCTTCTTAGTTTGTTTGTGTGTGTGTGTGTGAGTGACTGTGTTATGTTGTGTTAAAGGACAAAACGTGGAGAGAAAAGTGGAGGAAGAAGTATATGTGTGGTGGAGATAAGTTGAAGGAGGGGAGACCTTTGTGAATTTAATAATTTTATTAACTTCCTTTAAAATGTCCTTTTGGCTTTATAAAGCTTTTTCTTAAAATACGTTGCTACCAAAACAAAAAGATTTGGTCAACTTAAACTTTGCCACGTCACATGCAACAACACACTATGTAAAATTTATCTGTTTTAAAATTTAGTTTAATGCATACCATTACCATAATATTGAATAATAGTACAAGTAAAAAAATTGTGAGACCATTATACTATATGGACCGCACGTCTAGAGGTAGTGCTCTTCCACACATATCACATAATCTCCTCCTTAACCAAAAAAGTCTCAATTTATACTTTATATAATACAAATATTATATATAGAAAGTCTTTCATACATCAAAAAACATAATCTCAGAATCATTTGGCCCAAAAAAAGTCGAGAGAGGTCGTCATGGCGCAGAGGATCACGACATTGTTCCTGCTCATAGAGATATTGTTTCTGGTAAATTATGTGAGTCAAATCGCCACGACCGCGGCTGATAACGACGCAGATGTGATTCACGTCGCCGGAAAAGTAATGTGCCAAGATTGCACTCTTAACTACCAGAATTGGATCAACGGTTCTGAACCCATCAAAGGTATATTAATTGCTTCCCATAAATTTGTCTATTTGTGTATTTGAACTGTAACGATTCACATATCATACCAATGGGATCCTACGACACCGTTATCTCTTAACATTAAGATCGTACTGATATGCGATCACTTTGTATCTTTCAGATGCTGTTGTATCAATCACTTGTATGGACGAGAGGGAAAGAGTAAGATACTATGGCAGCGACAAGACCGATGAGCGAGGCCAGTTCGATCTTATCGTCAACAAAGTCCTCTACGGCGGCAAAAGTCTCAAGGCTCATCTTTGTATAGTTCGGCTCGTATCTTCTCCGGACCAGTCATGTGATATTCCGACCAATTTTGGTCATGGTCAAAGCGGAGTAAAACTAGTTCAACCGTTCATGGTGTTCAAGGATCTGGTTAAGTTTGTGGTCGGGCCATTTTATTATACCACCCCCATGTGTGAGACCCCTAAAGTTGAAAACAACTACTAGACTTGGAGGGTTTTGACTTTTGAGTTTTGATTAAGGTCATTTAAATTTAGTGGTCCTTTTGTTAAATAATATATATATATCTAATTTAAAACATATCTCAATTATATGTAATGTGTCATGTTTTTGCTTCCGTAATATTGTTGATTCTTGTATATGTCATATGGTGATCATTTTTTTTAACAAATACATTAACGTCAATTATATATAATACGTTTTTCCTTGTGTATATATTAAGTGACAAACTTCATTCAGCTCATTCAACTATTAAGGTTTCAATTAATTCTTCTGAAATTGGTTAAAAGGAATGACTATTTTTTTTGTCATATCGGTAAAAAAAAAAAGTATACTACAGTTTGTTGTTGGAGTTGTTCAATATAATCTAAATTTTAAATCTTAGTGGATGTTATTTAATCATGAATTTAAATTCGGCTTTGTTTGGTTAGGTAACAAAAAAAAAATCAAAATTATTCTAACTGAAGAGTAGTTGATTCATTCAAATTGAACATTCATAGATGTCGTAGTGCATAAATTTGTTCTAAAGGCGATATTTTTTATATTTGGTCTAAAAAATAAGGGGCGGATATCAAACTTTTGACAAAAAATAGGCACATCTCCAAACTTCTTCTATGACAAAAGATCTCGAATAAAACTAACGGCTGAATTTTATATCTCAAATCCGAATATTCTTTTATTCCTCACACAAAGAACATACCACGGGAGTGGATACAACAACACACACATAATGAAGAACAAAACAGAAAGAAGAGAGAGTATCACAAAGTAAATTCATAATCTGCTGATTCCGAGGGGAACCGAAGCTTGCCAAAGGATAGAAGTTGCCCAATTTCGAGAGGTAGATAAAGAAAACTCGCTGTCTCTTCATCATCAGCCTTCTGCAATCTTCATTGCTCCATATCTTAAAACACTTTCCTTACAAGAACACAAAACCATTTAATTTGACATTAACAATCACTTCTTTTTTAGGTATTTAGGCCATCCCCTAAGATAAACCTCTAAATAAATCAGAGGTTTTTCTCTTCTCTTCACCTTAGGGGATGGCCATTTTCTGTCTATTTGTGGTGTTGGGACAAAATTGAGAGAGGTTTCAACAATGGAAGCTTGCTAGGGGTTTTTATAGCTTTTATCTTTCGTTTTTTTCTTTTGGGTCTATGGCCTTGAAGACATTGAAAAAGATACACAGAAGACCCATCTTACGTAAGCTTTAGTGTTCTTTCCACTTTTTTCTCATTTCTTTTTCATTTTAAAAAACAACTTTTTGTAACAATCAACCAATATATATTTCATGTTTGTTAATGTTATTGATATTATGTTTTGGTATCATATATATACACGTTTATTATTTTGTATTTACAAAATTCTGCATGCTGAATTACACAAGAAATAATAAAAGAAATAAACAGCTCCAATGTGTTTAGGTTAAAAGCTCCTAGTATCAGGTTCTGAAAGGAATTTATTTTAAGGATTTACGATAAAATTTGCAAATTAAAAGGGCAAAAAAACGGAAACATATTGACGGTGTAAATTAAAGGGAATAAAAAAACGCTGTAAAGAGACTGTGAAAGTAATTTAAAAAATCATAAGTGGAAGCAGATGATGGAAACAAGGGGAGTCTTACGTGAATATGCTCGGAATTTTGGATCATCCCATGGAATATGCCATTACCAAACTTGCCTTTTCGTAAATGTACACTCATCTGATGACATACACAATAATCGTGTTATTTCTTAATTAATTTATCTCTAATCAGGTACAAATACGATACCCGAGCTCTATAAAACATATAAAAAGGGTGGAAGAAAGTATTTTTAAATGTTCAAAAAAAAAAACATACAATTTTTTTCATTATAACATTTTGTTATATGAGTAGATATACAAATACATATGTAGTTAAAATTCACAAATTATATTTTGAATTTTATAATTGAAATATCGAGATATAATTCTTTGCTATTTCAGAAATTTAAAACCTACCTGAAAAAAAAAAATATTTGAAAAAACTAGTACTGTATACAGTATATGTGTGTGTGAGGGTTTATAACCTAGTTTGACCCCAAAAAACAAAGTTGGATCCACCCTCCTGAATTGATGGGCTCCTGCTCAACTTATATAATCAATAATAGGCCCAATATTTTCAATTTAGGAGCATAGCAACCAAAACTACGTAGAAGTTTGCATAATTTTTTTAAAAAGCTTTCTTTGCTTCCATCAACACCCGCATCTGCTGCGTTTACTAATCCAACCGAAACGAAACTACAAACTGAATTTGGAATCGCTGTGAGCCTTAAGTTTCTCAAATGGCAAAACTCAGCCTTGTTGGGCTTCTTGAGCCCAAAAGTTATTAATAAATTCGAAAGAACAAAAAAAATCAATAATACTCTAGGATTCTTTTTCAATATAGTACAGAGTCAAAAGTTTGGTGAGGATTGAGGAACAACGCAGTTGAAAGTGACAGGAGAACAGATATGCATGATCAAAAAATTTGTACGATGTTTTGAAATCAGTAAAGAGAATGATGTTCTGTCTCTTTAATAATACTCATTTGTCCTCCGAATCTCAACACAGGTTAATAATGGGTTTCCTATTTTTTTAGCCGTTAAATTCCATCTTTGTAATATCATTGCATTCAATAAATATTTCAAGTTTAAAGGTTATTTTTTTAAGTGCATGAATTACAAATGGATTTATATTAGAACTAAAGTATATGATAATTTCCCAAAATTGATTTATTCAAGAAAATATATTATAAACCACTACTATTTTTTTGGGTTAAATTACAAACCACTACCATGCATATATATATGGTGAATGGCTGAATGGGCCAATTATGCCACCACTAATTACAATTTAGAAGAAGTCATTGACTCAATATAGGATTGGCCTTAGAGATATTATAATAAGGTCCCCCACTGGCATTATGACATAAATGAAAACAAGATTATCACTAAGCACTTTGGTCATAATCCACATCGTAATCTAACGCTATGATATTGTTGTCTATAGTTAACTAAGTTATCTAGTAATATTTGAATATGATTAGATATTGATGTCCCTCAAGAAAAATCTAATAAGTAATATTTGTGCTAGATTGCAATCCACGAAAAAGAGTTCATAAAAATTTAAATAAAAAAAAACTTCTGTATTCTACATGCAAAACAAGGCAAGGCATCTGTAAAGATTTAATTTTCAATACTTGGTATAGTATCAACAAAAATATTAAATAGCTTATTTTAATAATTTATATATTAAATGAAAGGCGGAAATTGTAATTGTACCTTTTGTCCAAAATAATATGAACGATAGTTGTTAAAATCGTCGACAGAACCCATTGTTGGTAATTGCATAGCAATGAAAGTGACTAGACCTAACACTAAACACTACAAATAGTTACCCATTAATAATTATCAGCGTCAACAAAAATGTTCTAATTATATGTGATGCATACAAATGTGCACATCAATCCCGGGGCCAAAGGTTGGTTTACAGAAATATATATATATATATATATAGTAAACACATCAAGACAAATGGTGTTATTATTTTTCATTATAATAATTTTACAAGTTTAAATAAATATATGAAACAAGTTTGGTCGGCATCTAGAGAAGAAATGTCCACCTTTTAAGAAGACCTCCCAACAGTTTCTATGAATTTAATTTAAATTATATTATATGGAAATGTCTTTTTCTAATGAACAGCTGAAAAGGTATTGTTTTACACCGAGATTTTTATTAGATTTTTTAAAGAGGGTAAACTTTTTTTTAGATTGCGGATGTAAATTTTTTTTTAGATTGCGGATGTAAAATTTTCGAAAGTTCCAAACATGTTCTTATGTTAAGCTTTCCGTGGTAAGTTTAACAACGTGTATTGTACAACAACAGTCACTCACTTTCACGTGTGTTAGAAAAAAAGGTTTTACCAAATCCTCTAACTAATTGTTTTTCACTCTTTCTCCAAATACTAAAAAATTATTTGTTAATATAAAATAAAACAAAAGACGAATCATCATGTTGATCTGCGGCTAATATATCACGCATGTACAATTTGGTACTATTATAATAGAACTCCACTCCAACTTGCTGTAAACTTATATTACGCTTACATCACTCGCTTAAGAAACTGGATGCTAGTTTAGTAGTTTGGTAATTAATCGATGCAAAAACAGGCTTTCTCTTATTTTTACAATATTGGTCGATGATTTTATCTTCCTAAGTGCGGTGGTCAAATGATCAATACACGAGAGAGAGAGAGAGAGATCATTGTCCATATAATACCAATCAAATCAATACAAGTTCGACAAATGTCTTTTGATCACAATTGTCGAGGTTCTCCAGAAATGAGAAGGTATTGTCTACTTTAAATGAGTGGAGATGGACTCACTGTTCCAATTACATTGGCTTCGTCAAAGTTAAACAGTACAAAGATTTTTTTCTTTTTCCAATAGATATACTTGCAATCGTTCAGTGAATACGTCTCCCCGGCTCTCGTTAAAATACAATCAAATAAATTAAACAAATGATTGCTGATGAAGGAGGTTTTTTTTGGTCTCGCAGAATTAATAAAATAAAGTAATTGTGGAAACTGGGAATAACAAGCACGAGAAAGCGACAATATAAAGGAATTTTCTTCTAATAAGTGGTAGCCAACCCCACTACTTGCATCGGTGGCTTTGTGTGAGGGTTTTCAATTATTTGATTTGAGACATACGTAAGGCAGCATAACTAAGAACATGGATAGCTCGATCGGTAGATGCATGCAATATCTTTTTCTTTCACAAGACTTTGGGTTGATCAATGTTATTTATTATGTATTTCCTTTTGGATTTTTGGTTTATGAGAGCGTCGCATATGTAATTCACTAATTTGTAAGTTGTACGTTGCATGGGATCGATTACTATACTTATTATGTTTCCCTTTTAATTTATACGTTTTATTCATTTTTAAAACAATAATTAAATCAGCTTTTCTGACCACTAATCACAGCATCGTTATAATAATGCACCGAAGAAGATTTGTAGCTAAAAGTGTTCATGTAGCAAACGAGTATTATAAGTAACACCTGATTACCTTCTCTTTTTCTATCTTGTCACAATTTTCTTCTGTTTCTCTCATTTTATATATATATAACACATTAAGATGTATTTGGTCGACGAAATGACCAACACAACTTTAAGTCTGTATCTTTCATGAATTTGTATTTTGTTTTCGTCG